TTCATTTGTCCAACGTGTACTGAGCACCAACCTCCCATCTGCCAAGTACTTTGCCAAGCACCGGGCATATAATACTGAGTGAAAGCAATGTAGCTCCTGCCCTTATAAGGCTCCCTGTCTAGTGGGAGGGGAAGCTAGTCAAAGAATCTACAAAAAACAGCACAAAGGAGAAGCTGTAGTGCTAGGAGACGGATAAAAGGGAAAAGTGATTAGTCAGGGGCGTCAAGGGAAGGCCTCCCTGGGAGGCAATGACTAAGCTGAGGTCCGGAAAAAAAAAAAAAAAAAGGATGTAACTAAGTCAAAATGAAGAAGGAGTGCAGGGATAAGTGTGCCAAATCGAGGGAACATGAGGTGCAAATGTGGTAGGAAATACACAGCGCAGTCAACATACCGTGTAAAGGCCAGAGTGGACATTGGCTGGACAGGCAAGAGCCGGCACGGTACGAAACGGGGCCAGCATGGCAGGCAGAGGGTAGATTACAAGGGGCCTCGTGGGACCATGAAGGAGTACATTTTTATCATAAGAACGTTGGAAAGCCACTGGAATGCGACATGGTGGGATTGTAAAGACCTTCCAACTGAGGTATGGAGAACAGATTTGGGGGGCAGGTAATTAGGGGGAGTGATTTGGGGAGTGAGTGTGGGAAGACAAGGAGGTCAGAGGCCAATCTGGGATCCATGGTGGTGGCAATAAGGGTGGAGAGAGCTGGGGCTGCCCACAGCCACACAGTCAGGATGCCAGCAGAGCGGAGATGGAGAGACCTAGGCCTGTCTGACTTCAAAGCCCCTGCTGCTCTGTACCTTGCCATTTATCCGTTCATTCAACAGTTTCGTTACTGACCCTCTACTATGTGCCAGGCCTACGCCAGGTGCTGGGGACACAGCCATGAGCAAAACAGATGCTGCTTTCACGGGATTGACAGCGTAGATGTTAAATGAGAACACACACGGATGTATACAATTACAAACTGGGATGTGTACCATGAAGGAGCGATAGGGTGATCAGAGATCTTCCCAGGAAAGCTATCTCAAAGGCCATGAAGATCCTCCTAACTGCTGGTGAGAAGAAAAAAGCTGCCACTTGCCAGCCTTCGTGTAAGTGAAAGACTTTAGGAAGCTCTCCCTCTCAGAGCTGGACACTGAGTATCTCTGGCCTGCTCATAAGGCCTCGGGGAAAGCTGGATGTCTCAAGCTCTGCAGATCCTGTCAACACAGAAGTTCTAGAAGTATCACTTAAGCCTTAGAATACTCACATATCCCAACCGCAGGCACCCCTCCATCACGTGTGGACAGCATTTGACAGTTAGACGGGCTCCTTCACACAGATCCACTCATTCAACCCTCACAGCAGCCCTGTGTAGAATGGAGGCAGGCTGTAACTCCTCCCTGAGAGAGGAGCAAGTTGAGGCCAAGACAGGTCAAGTGACTGGACCAAGGTTGTCAAGCTAGAAAGGCACCCAGATCTGCTCCCAGACCTCACTAACGCATCTTGGGCCAGGAAATCAGGACTCTGGGAGGAGACAGCTGCAGGTCACTGAGCCTGGGTAAAGTCACCCAGGAGTCCCACGAAGTTCCTGAGAACAATGATCAGGGACATTAAGCAGCTTAGGAAAGGTTTCTAGAATGCAGCTCCTCCAGCCTGAGACACAGGTATCCTTGCCAACTTTCCCAGATTAGAACAGGTTCTCTTGGACTCTTTCCAAGTGACTCTGACTAACAGAGAAAAGTATTTTTCCATCGCAAACACTGCAGGCAGGCACCAGACTCCTGAAGGGGGAGGCCAGAGCCTGCACCCCGGATTCCCATACAGAGAAGCTGTAAAGTTAGGTTGATACCGTGTGAACTGCACTAGCCGAGCACCCACCACTGGGGAATGGAGGGCAGTCTCGGGCCATCTAGGATGTCTCGATGGTGCCAAGACTCAGATTTGGGGCTAGTATTTCTTTGTGGTGGGGGAACTGTCCTGTGGAATGCAGGATGTTTAGCAGCATCTGGGGTGTCTACCAACAAAGGGCCAGTAGTGACCCCCCAGTTGTGAGAACCAAATATGTCTACAGGGGCACCTGGGTGGCTCAGTGGGTTAAGCCTCTGCCTTCGCCTACAAAAAGCTTCCGGCTCAGGTCATGATCTCAGAGTCCTGGGATCGACCCCTGCATCGTGCTCTCTGCTCAGCGGGGAGCCTGCTTCCCCTGCCCTCTCTCTCTGCCTACTTGTGATCTCTGTCTGTCAAACAAATAAATAAAATCTTAAAACAAAATGAAACAAATATGTCTCCAGACATTGCAGACAATCTTGGGGCATAAAATTGCCTGGGGTTGACAGTGCTAGCCGAGGACTGTGCAGAAGGGGACAAGCAGAGTCCACTCCTCTTTCTCTGCTCCTAATCCACCCCTTCCCATCCCACCTAACTGGAGAGACAGATGGCCAGAGTGATATTTACTCAATATCACACAATGACCGCCTTCCACAATGAGCCCGAGAGCAGCCTCTGTGCTGATGTGGCCTGCAGGTAAGTCCCAGGAGCAATTTCTCACTGGAGCTGGTAAAAACAACCAGAGCCAAATAACTCCTTGTTCCATTAATGAGCTGCTTCTGACCCTGTGAGCAAATCTTGTTCCCATTAATACGAGCCGCTGAGTCTGACTGAACTGGAAACCCTGGGTGTTTCTTCTCAATGACTCTGGGCCAGGGCAAAAGCTTCCACTGCTGCTAGAAGGAGCACAAAATCAGTGAATCAAGTAGCGGGAGACTCCCATTTCCCCAAATTCAGTACAAGAGCCAGGACACTGAGACACCCCAGCTTACAACCAATCTGGACTAAGGAGAAAGGGAAAAGTGACAGAGTACATAAACAAGAGGTCTGAATTAACAAGTTAATTAAACAGCTGAAACATTAGCGAAAAATCTCGCTGTCAAGTGGAGGTGGTGATGGGAAGCTGAGCTCTAGAGCGACTGGGGTGACTCAGACAGCGTCAGGGCTATGGGTTCCAAGCTCACACACCGAGGGCTGGGCTTTGGCCCAGACGTGGAAATCAGTGTCAGTTCCGAGGCTACAAGGCTAGACCCCAAGAAGCAGCATCTTGCATCACTTGTTCATCAGCTACCTACGCAGTTAGAGGGTTTACTGAAAGGCTCAACAAAACTCACTGCCGTTTGGTAGAAGTGTACCTGACTGTGTGGTAGTTCTTTGCAGACTGACTAACCATTATACGCCCACCTGGTAGCACCCAACTGCTCATACTCCTGCCCCCTTCTATGCCCCTTCTGTACGTTGTACTTCGCTCTACTGCTGCACAGGTGTGCCAAAACTGGGTAGCAGGTCGGTCTCCCCCAGTGAACAGGGGGCTCCCTGACAGCAGGATCTGTATCTAGTACAAGGTGTAGTACATAAATAGACCCTCACCATTTGTATGATGGATGGATGGCTGGATGGATGGCTGGTACAATCTTCCATGTCTACCTTCTTAGACCCAGGCCTGTCTACGCGTTCTAGCAAGGGCACAGCCCAGGTCTTTTCCCCAACACTGACTACATCGCTCAGTAGGGTCCCAATAAGAACTGATTTGCTTTGAGACAAACTGAAGCCTTCTGTTCATGAACCAGTGAGACCAAGGAAAGAGGTCAGAAATCCTAGCTATCTCCGTTGACTCATGTGTATCTGAAGATATTTACTCTCTTCTAACTAGAAAGGGAAGAGACAGAAGCAAACAAGACTAACACGGTACTGTCCCTCACAGAGCTCATCGTCAGAGGTAAAAGGCAAATATTAACAATTGCGAATACATGACTACCGTGCTCAATGAGTCTCCTTAGGAAGAGTTTTTGTAGACCGTCCCAATCTTCTAGCAGTCTGAACCTCTTTGAGGAAGTCATGACTTTCCCCTTTAGAGCATCTCTGAAGTGGTCAATATGGAAAGTTTATTTTACACCTTTGTTATAAAGGCCTGTGTTCCAAAATGGCCACAAAATCTTTTCAAAGACCAACGAAAAGCCTCATGGATATGAAGACTCTCAAGTGTATGTCTGTGTGTTCCAGTGTGTAGTGAGTGGGGCGTACCTGCCAGGGATAACTGAAGGGGAAAACCTACAAAAAGCAGACATCCCTGCAGTAACTAGCAGTCACTAGGTCGGTACTTGTGAGTCTGGAGATCCAAGTGTATCTAATAAGTAGGCAAGGGCAGGCAAGGGGACTCCTGAGAACCCCTGAGCTTCAGGGGTCTCTGACATGAGCATAGATCTTAAGAATTACAAATGGCCTATCTGGGAAACTCTATGTAAGTCAGTGGAAGTGCTGGGAAGGCGGGGAAGAAGACAGGCCATAAAAAAACAAACCCAGAGAACAAAATCAGCAATATGAAGACCACAAAAGGAGACAAGCCCTGAGGGAAAGATGAGAAATAAATACTCAAGAAAAGATAAAGATGTCTGAAGCTGGATGGCATGCCACCGTAAGGTGACATCTGACAGGATATATCGGATGTCTGAATCAATGTATGTGGTTTGTTAGGGTTAATGGAAATGTGAATCAAAATATCACGCCAATTATGATTCAAAATAATGCTCCTGCCTCAATCTTGAAATACGAATCTTTAAGTTTCAGAAGCCTTTAATTTAGACTCAGGTGGAAAGGCAAGTAGTCATCTCTTCAGCTAGGACAAGGCAAAAACTCCCCAGCAGCCCAAACAAACCTCTGGGTAATGCTTGCTACCATAGTTACTTCTCAAAACCTCAAGGATTTGTAGGGCCAGAAAGAGCCCATCTAACTGAGACTTGCCTCTTTTTGTGTAAACATTTGATCCAGAGAGGAAAAGCTCCATGTCTGGCTGACTGAAGAACCCGATCCCAGAACCTCCCCATCCCAGTCCATAGAGCATTTCACAGTAAAAACCCACCGGCTTAGTCCTGAGCATTCATAGCTGTCTAGACAGCTATCCTCCAAGCCTTTCCCCCACCCCACCTCACTGCTCTTACCAACCACAAATTCTCTGCTGCTCTCTCACCTGTCTGAGCAACCAGGTGTGTCCACCCACTCCAGACAGAAGTGACCTTTTCATTCTGAAAACACTGTGCTTCTATTTTCTGGGGCATAGGAAGAAAAGCAGCCAAGGAAGCCAGTTGCCCATGCTTGTTGCTTCCCCAAACATACAGCTCTCCTGCATCTTAAACAAACAGAAGGGGAACAAAAGAGGTGAAGGAGAATTAGCTCAAAATGACGGGAAATAAGACAAATCTGGGGGAAAAAAATGGTTAAGAGAAGTTGTATTATTCTCATGCTATGACGTTGAATAGGGCAAAGCAAGATACGAAAGTCATGTATAGCATATTAACATACAAGATTGCTGTTAATTCTATAAATAGGAAACAAGGCCAAATGTTCTTAGTATAGTTTGTCAAGGAATAGGAATGTGTAAGTTTATTTTTTCATTAATTCATTCAACAAATATTCATAGAACATCTACCAAAAGAAAAACATGTTTCTCCATTTTTCATAAAATATATGTTTACATTGCCCTTGGTTAGGAAAAATATATGTTAACTTTTTAAAGTAACAGGTTAAAAGATATATTATTTAAACTTAAACTTTTCAGACCTAAGACTAGCTCACAAGATGCCCTGTCCAGCAGAAAACACAATGCAGCTACCTCCCACCCACACACACAGCACTGTCGCTCACTTGAACCTCACGGTGGTCCTGAGGTTTAAGCAGGAACACCACAGACTGACATTGGGAATTAACAGAAAGAAAGCAAATTCAGAGTCAAGTGACTCTGGCTTCTATTCCTAGACCTCCTAACCAGCTACTGACCTTGGACAAATCACTTTCAAAGCCTTAGTTTCACCAGCTGAAAACCAGAGGGGAGGGCACATGGCCTAGAAGGGCAGACCGTATAACAGATGACACAGGCCACAAGAGAGACCGGTAGGCCACAGCAGCAAGCCATAGAGCGCACGCTTCTCTAAAAGGCATGTACATTCAAAAACATTTTTAACCGGAGGCCAGACCAGATGGATCTGTGAGCTACACAATTCAGCCCATGAACCTATAGTTTGTGACTCCTCAAATGATCTCTAAGATTTTTCCAACTAACCCTAACATTCCACATTTCTACACTGTACTGGAAGCACATGGCACACACACATGGCTCCTAAACACTTGAAATATGGCCCGTCCAAACTGAGATGTGTTGTCAAAAAAAGCACAACAGGGGCGCCTGGGTGGCTCAGTGGGTTAAGAGGCTGCCTTTGGCTCAGGTCATGATCCCAGGGTCCTGGGATCGAGCCCTGCATTGGGCTCCCTGCTCAGCAGAGAGCCTGCTTCTCTCTCTCCCTCTGCCTGCCGCTCTGCTTGTGCTCTCTATCTCTCTGTCAAATAAATAAATAAAATATTAGGGAAAAAAAAAAAGCACAACAGATTGCAGACTTAGCACAAAACAAACAAACAAACAAAAAACCCTAAAACAAAAAACACATATCTCCTTAATAGTCTTCATATTGATTACTCGTTGAAATAATATTGTGGGTATATTGGGTTAAATAAAATATATTACTAAAATTAATTTATCTTTTTACTTTTTGAAATGTGGCTCACATTATATTTCTACTAGAGAGCATTCTTCTAGAAGCTAAAGCAATCAAGGCTTGGAGATTTAAATGACTCTCAAGATAGCACGGTTAGCAGAAAGCCAAGTCCTCTGCTTCCAACAGCATTTCGTGACCTCCCAAAAAAGCCTTCCAGCATTGCTTGCCATAGGGCAGTCTGGTATAGAGCCAAATAGTATCATTAAGGACATCAGACCAAGATTCGGGGTTCCAGTCCAAGAGCTGCTACTCCGTCGCCCTTCCACACCGGCTCTCACATTTCACATTCTGTGCCTGTTTCATCAGGTCTAAGATGTGGGAGTGTAAGTCAGTAGAGTCATTCTGTCACTCAGTTGACCTTGCAGGACTGACATTCTGCAGTTCAATGATGTGAATTTGATGTACTTCATGCCCTGAGAGAGGGCAACCTCCCTGGACTTCACCGGACTATACAAAGTAGGAAGATCCCTTACAAGAGGGCAGAGAAGTCCCTCAGCAAAGTCTCAGCCTGTTTAATGGACTGGTTAGCTATCAAGCTGCCACTGACAGCGAGTCCGTGTCTGTAATAAGCCTTCATTTATCTTAGAAAGTCTAAACCTTCTTTTTGCAAAGACAAACTGCCTTCCACATGCGGATCATTACACTGTTGCACCAGCAGGCACAATTACGTTCTGCTGCAATGCCAAAGAGTTATATAACCTACCACGACTCCAGAGAGAAGGTCTAAAGAGCAATGAACAAAATCCAATGGGTAACAGCTTCAACAGGAAGGAGGGATATGAACCTTCACAATTTTTAACTCACTTTTAAAATATAAAAAACCAATTTCCTTTGTGAATATACTTTAAAAATCACTAAACTTTATACACTGTAAAGGGGTGAATTTTATAGATGAATTATATCTCAGTAAAACAAAAATTCTACATCTATGTTTTAAAAACACCATAAAAGTATTCCATATATGAAATAATAAATAACTTCACTAATTTTAAGATTTTTGAAGAAAGTGCTAGTAAGCAATGAGAAAATCTCTACGTTTATATAATGCTGGCCATTTCAAACTGATTAGGATAGCAGAGAAATATCTCTATTAGGATAGGTAGAAATATCTCTTATGATACTCTTAGTCTCAGAAAAGAATGCCTTCCTCAACCGTCACTGACCATGGGGCACAGACTAGTCACTTCTCACCCTGGGGCCTCCAGCCCTTCCTCTACAAAAGGAGACAGGGGACCAAATGCCCAAGGGCCATTCACTTCAACTCAACCCTTTTAACATACATGTAAGTCTACCTAATATGAAACATAGGCTAAAAGTAGGCATTTCTTTTATTGGCTGGTTGTCTGAATTTGTTAAATAACAAATTATTGGTAGTTCAGAATTTGTAATGTGTTTAAACTCTCACATCATGGCTTTGTAATCTGGAAACAGTAGCAGCTTCTCGGTTGGACTGTATTACACATTTGACGTTGAAGAACGCACGTCACCATTAATTATCTGTGATGTGTACCTATGTACACATACACCCTAATTTCCACATAAAACACTCAAAACACTATGTATGAAAGTCATTCCCCTTTGCTCAAAAAAGGTCCTGCCTTCAGCTCTGGCCTTACCAAAATAAATCTCTCGGAGCTCTCGTCTCAGTCTACCGGTAGGGATCAGGGCACTCTTGGCGCTGCTTTGTCAATGGAAAGTCTGTACTGTATTGGCGGGGTGTGTGGAATGATGGAAGGATGCATAACCAAGAAGAGGGGTACAGTGTGCGAGAGAAAAAGATTAGACAGAGAGGTGGAGGGATCAAAGAGATGGAACAGATTGCAGAAATGCATAAAAATACAAAATAGTTTAGAGAAATATGTGCAAACTCAATTTAGAAAGACATACAGACACAGATTAGATAGGAAGATGTGAAGATGAAAGGAAAATAAAAATCGAGATAAACAGATAAAGAGAAGATGAATACAGACAGAGCAGAGAGGTAGATAAATGCACTGGAAGACAGGTTAGTCGGAGAGCAAACAGCTAAAGGGAACAGAGAGCTGTGTTAGACACCAAATGGCTCCAGGGGATACGACAACAATGGGCTCTAATGCCTAAGTGCTGGCTGTGTGACTTGGCAATCACAGCAACCCTGAGAAGAGGATATTCTTGTCCCTACCACACAGCTGAGAGGAAAGGAAGCGAGCCTGTGTTTCCTTCCTGTGGACGCCTTACCTGTATTTTCACCTTTACTTCTCAAAACTGCCCACAGAGAATTTGGTAGAGAAGGCAATGGTCTTGGAAGGTAAAGCGACTTCCTAAATCAGACCAGGGAAGGCAGCCGAATTCTGACTCCAAGTCTACGCTCCTCCCTCTGTTTCCCAACATCCACCATTCAAGGTGGAAATGTGCAGAACTCCAAACGGCGTGTTAGACTCGAAGAGCGGGTCCCTACCTGTCAGCGAGGCTGAGTGATCTGAGCCAGCAAGAACACAGGTTACTTTAGAATTCTCCAGGCCTACAAAAAAAACCAAAAAACAAAAAAATGTTTGAAAGCACATTTATAACAGAACAAATCAATCAGAGAAGGGGCTCAGACAGTACCACTGGGCCTGAAAGAAACTTGAAGCAGAGACGACAGGTCTGAGTAGGCAGCGCTGGCCAAGAAGATGGGTGATGTGGTGGGGACACTGTTTCCATACCGAGAGATTGAACAAGTAAGTAAATACACTGAAAATGAAGGAGCCCGATTTCTCACCAGCAGAGAGGAGAAGAAAGGTACAGACACAAAGACATGAAAGGCTAGAATCGCCTGTGTCATAGTGGACTGTAATTGCAGAAATGGCCATAAGCTCATGGTTTCGAGATAAACAGACATGGGTGTACATATGTGTAAATATATGTGTGGACACATCTATCTCTTAGCTCTGTCCATGCAAGGGCCTAGAAGCAAGGACATCTCACCCATTCAGCTGCCATCTCATACGTGAGCAGGCAAACTCAGGACTCTAAAGAACGTAAAGACAGAACTAAGAATCTGAACCAGCCTTCCATCCCCAAATCTAGCCCTTTTACTCCCTTAATTACACTGCCTTCACTGACCGGTTATAATCTCAATCAGCTCTGCTAGAAACCGTGGTCCCTGGGTCTAGCGTGTGGAGACAGGCACTCTTATTCTGTAACTCTTATCTGACACTTCTGTTTAATTAACTAGTATCTTAGTAAAATGCCCCTCACCCCTTTGAGTACCTTGTGGAATGAGAAAGGGACAAAGGAGATGTTTCTAGCACATTCACCAGAGAGGGAACACAGGGCTTCGTGACCTGGCAAGGAGAGGATGTCCAGGGCTGCAGCTCCAGGATCAGCGATGAGGAGGTAATGATGGGCGAACAAAAAGGGGAAAGAGAGAGCGGGAAGCTCATGATCTATTCCAAGGTCTCATCGGGAAACTCCACCAATCACTCAAAATCTAAGCTGCGTCCCCAAAGAGACCCAAACAGATCATTTAAATCAAATCAAAGCATTTGTGATTTCTTCCATATATAGGACCTGTGCTGAAATGGACAGTTCCTACCCTTAAGAAGCTCAGTCTTTGGCATGTTGGAAAACACGTAAGCAATTCCTAATAACGCAGTACATCGTGCCCTCCACACACACGGGGAAAATGCAATGAAGTTATAAAAGAGAAGACTCTTCACCGAGAAAGCTGTATCTGAGTTAGGACTTGAAAAATTATCAGGAGAGACTAAAGATTACCAGAAGGAATGGGAAGGAAGACATTTCAGGCAGGGCTGACAGTTTGCCCACAGACACAGAGGAATAAGAAAGCAGGAAATGCTCAGGGAGCAGTGAATACCTAGATGAGGCAGGAAAAAAGCGTTTGGGAATTATGAGTTTATGAATGTGTTCAAGGTCATGTGCAGTGGAATGCCTATCCAGCATCCAATACCCGCTCTGCTTCACCACCAGTCCCCTCCCCAACTCTACCCCTGGCTTCAGGGTGCCACCCTCACCCCAGCTGAATGGGAGAGCCTCCAGGACTTAGGAAAATCAGAACCACCCCAACACCTGTGCAGCACTCCCACTGTGGCTTTCCCTTCCCTTATTTCCCCGATTCCTATCCCACCTGCAAAAATTCCTCCTGTGTTCTCACCTGGAGGAGGGCAGAGGTTTACTATGTGGGTTCTTCCTACAGCCAACCCTCAGGAGACTGGGGCACACAGAGAACAAGAGAGGAAGAGAGGAAAAAGAGGAGATGCAGACACAGTGTTATGCAGAGAGAGAGACGGGGGCCCATGGTGAGAGTGTACAGCAGAGGGAGAGGCGGGCAGGGACAGGAGCTAAAAGAGACTGAGCCCCAGAGTGAAAAGCAGAAAAGAGAAGTGCCTGGATGGCTCGGTCGGTTAAGCGGCTGCCTTCGGCTCAGGTCATGATCCCAGGGTCCTGGGATCAAGCCCCAGTCAGGCTCCCTGCTCAGTGGAGAGCCTGTGTCTCCCTCTCCCTCTGCCTCCTGCTCTGCCTACTTGTGCGCTCTCTCTCTCTCTCTCTCTCTGTCAAATAAGTAAATAAATAAATAAGTAAATCTTTTTAAAAAGGGTGGGGGAGCAGAAGAGAAAGCCCTCCAGGCTAAATGACCATCAAAGACAGACCAGACCCATGGGCAGAATGATCACTATCCACTCCTCATGTGCCCATGTAAAGAGACTTCCCTACAGAACACTCTAGGCCCCTTAGTCTATATCCTCGCTCATCCTGCTCTCCTTTTGGGAGAAGGACCTGGGCTTGTAAGGTGCAGTCCCTCCAGGTTCTCCCTTTGGGATGTGCCTGCCTGCAGAGGGGGTGCCCCGTCGTGTGCTCCCAGCCATGAGGGAGCTTAGCTGAGCTGACCCTATGCAGTAGCTACCATACCTGCTGAGTAAATCCAACCCGGGATTCAGAATCTAGAGGCTCACTGTCGCTACACATTATCTCCAAACACCTAAGTCACATCTCCCAACCTAACTTTTAACAGTTCCAGAGCTACCATTCTGATCTCCACTTACCTGACCTTCATCTATCTCTCAACGGCCTCCCCCTCTGACAGCGAGGAGGGGTCCTTTTACTGGGTCCACAAAAATTCTAACAAGACTAACACATCGACTAACACAGAGACTGAAGACAGAGGAACTAAGAAAACAGCAAAAGCAGTATAAAGAGTAAACTCCATTTACCCATTTTCTGCATGCATATGTCACTATTTCTTGATAAAGAATAAATATAGGACTCAAGAAATAAGGGCCTTACCTGTCACTCTGCTGGGTTCCCTTGCTGCCAAAAATGGTGGGAGAGTCTGCCCAGGGCACAACCGCCGTCCAGATGATGCCAAACCAGTCCCCCACTGGAACACGACGCCACTCGCTTCCCGATGAAGCAGAAGAGGAAAATGAGAAAATGTTTATTAGGATTAAGACCGGATCGCTCTTGGGGTGCCTGGGTGGCTCAGTGGGCTAAAGCCTCTGCCTTCAGCTCAGGTCATGATCCCAGGGTCCTAGGATCGAGCCCCCCATTGGGCTCTCTACTCAGCAGGGAGCCTGCTTCCCCCTCTCTCTCTGCCTGCCTCTCTGCCTACTTGTGATCTCTCTCTCTCTGTGTCAAATTAATTAATTAATTAGTTAATTAGTTAATTTTTTAAAAAAAGACCATATCGCTCTTGGAGCCCCATGCTGCAGGGGATTTTCAATGCGTTCTCAGTTAACACGCCTGCTATGGAGAAGCATAGTGCTTCCAGCGGCCCTATGACTTGGTTACCACCAAGCCAATCACAAGCCCAATCATCAGGGCACTCTAAGACCATCAAAGAAAATTCCCACATATTAAAACTCCTTCCAAAAAGTTCCAGGACACTCTTCCATAGTCAAATTACTGAAATGACCCCTTGTTCATGACTAACCTGGAAGGACAACTCAAACTCCAGACCCAGCAGGAAAGAACCTTGAAGATTATCAAATCCACTGCTCATATTTAGTAGACAAGCAAACTGAGGGCTTGAAGACACGATGCGCTCTGCCCAAGGCATACAGGGTGCTAGTAGCAGAGAAAATACAAGGACTCAGCTCTCCTAACATCTAATGCAGTGTCTTTTCTACTATACCAAGATAAATGCATTGATTCCTAGTTACCAAATAAATATATACTTATGATTGCAAGATAGTTTAATAGCCACTCCTTTAAGGGAATGGACTTTTATTTCCCTATCCACTGAATCTAGGTCATGTGCCCATGTTCTGAACATCACACAAATGCGTAGGTGACACTTCATATATTTAATCTACAGTCACTCCTCTGGAAGAATGCTGTAACCCACAGTCCTTTAGACTGTAAACAGACCAGCCCACTTTGTGAAATATAAGTGATGACGATTAGCAAAACACAGTGCTGAAATAAAACATAACTTACCATCTCTTCCACAAATAAATTGCAAGGGGGAGAAAAGGGGAGGAAAAAAATGTATAGATTAAAAGAATCTTGTGATATCTGATAATGGATTAATATTCCAAATATATAGAGAACTAAAACTCAACAACTCAAAAAAAAACTGACTCAAAACTGAACAAAAAGGACTTGAAGAGACGTTTCTCTAAAGAAAACACACAGATGGCCCAAAAGCACATGTGAAAGAGGCTCAACGTCACTAATTATTAGAAAAATGCAAAACCAAGCCGCAATGAGATACCACTTCACACTCATTAGGATGACTACTATTAAAAAAAGGAAAAAAAAAAAAAACAGAAAATAACAAATGTTGGCAAGGATGCAGAGTTATCTGGAACCCTTATGCACTACCGGCAGAAATGTAAATGGTATGGCCATTGTGGAAAACAGCAGGGCAGTTCCTCAAAAAGTGAAAAACAGAGTTACTACACCATCCAACAATTCTGCTTCGGGGTATGTATCCTACAGAACTGAAAGCAAGACCTGGGAGTGCCATTTGGACACCCATGCTCAGGGCAGCCTTTCCCAATATCTGACACATGGAGGCAACCCAAGGGTTCATCAATGGGTGAACAGATACGCAAAATGTGGTCTGTCCACACAATAGAATAGTCGTCAGCCTTAAACAGGGACCACACTACAACATGGACAGACCTTGAGGACACTATGCTAAGTGAAATAAGCCACAAAAGGACAAATACTGTACAGTTCCACTCACAGGAGGTACTGGTGTGACTGGTCAAAATCAGAGTCAAAAAGTAGAATGGTAGTCGCCCGGGGCTGGGGGCGGGGGCAGTTATTACTGTCTTTGGTTCCAGGAGATGAAAAGAGTTCTGGAGATGGATGGTGGTAATCGTTGCACAACAACATGAACGTACTGTACACTTAAAAATGCTTAGGATCAGCTCAGGTCATGATCTCAGGGTCCTGAGATGGAGTCCCGCATCAGTCTCCTTGCTCAGCAGGGAGCCTGCTTCCCCCTCTCTCTCTGCCTGCCTCTCTGTCTACTTGTGATCTCTCTCTGTCAAATAAGTAAATAAAATCTTAAAAAAAAAAAAAAAAGGTTAGGATGGTAAATTTCATCGTGTGCATTTTATCACAATTAAAAAATTACAAGGAATGGGGCACCTGGGTGGCTCAGTGGGTTAAAGCCTCTGCCTTCGGCTCAGGTCGTGATCCCAGGGTCCTGGGATTGAGCCCCACATCAGGCTCTCTACTCCGCAAGGAGCCTGCTTCCTCCTCTCTCTCTCTGCCTGCCTCTCTGCCTACTTGTGATCTCTGTCAAATAAATAAATAAAATCTTAAAAAAAAAAAATTACAAGGAATAAATAAATATTTTTAAAAGAAGAGACACAATATTCATATCCACCACTTGCAGCACAGACATCATTCAGATCCTGACTCAAACAAACAATTAAAAATATTTTGGGGATAGCTAAGAAAATTTACACCCTGAATACTTGATGATCAAATTGTAGATTTATTGTTAGTTTTTCATAGGTATGATGATGGTGTTCTGGTAACGGTTTCAGAAAGAGTTCTTATCTTTTAGAGATGCCTGCAGAATTATCTACAGATTAAATGGGAGAGAGGAGGACTTACAATTAAGTCCATCAAATACGTAATGGAAACTGTGCAGCTTTGTAACTGGACAGAAATGTATACATAAGACTAGCAATTACAGAAAGTTGGTAGGAAAGGGGGAATTAAACCAATAATAGGCAACCTTCCAGTCCTGCTAATTTTCTAAAAGGAGAAACAGCTTATAAAAATGTAATCACTATCATAGAACTCAGCAATCACTCTCCTGGGCATTTATCCCAGAGAAATGAAAAGTTAAGTTCACATAAAAACTTGTCCATAAATGTTTATAGTTTTATTCTTAATAGTCAAAACCTGGAAACAATGAGATGTCCCTTGATGGGTGACTAGTTAAACAAACTGCATTGCTGTGGGCTGAACTGTGCCCCCCAAAATTCCTATGTTGAGGCTTTGAACTCCGGTGTGACTGTATTTGGAGAGAAGCCTGTAAGGAGCTAATAAGGTTAAATGGGTCGTAAGAGTGAGGCGCTCATCTGACAGAACTGGTGTCCTTATAAAAAGAAGAGGGGTGCCTGGGTGGGTAAGTGGGTTAAGCCTCTGCCTTTGACGTGGTTCATGATCTCAAGGTCCTGGGATCGAGCCCCACATTGGGCTCTTGGCTCAGCAGGGAGCCTGCTTCCCCCCAACTCTGCCTGCCTCTCTGCCTACTTGTGATCCCTCTCTGTCAAATAAACAAATAAAATCTTTAAAAAAGAAAAAGAAAAAGAAGAGACACCAGATGTCTCCCCCTCTCCATGAGCGCACAGAGCAAAGGCCCTATAAGGACACAGCAAGAAGGCAGCCAGCTACACAGTCAGGAAGAGAGGCCTCACCAGAGAGCAACCCTGCTGGCATCTTGATCTGGGGCTTCTAGCTTCTGTAACCATAAGAAAATTGTTTAAGCCACCCGTCTGTGATATTTCATTGTGGTGGCCTGAGATGACTAATTCAGTGGTACGTCTATACCGGGGAATACTACTACCCAGCAATAAATAGGAACCAATTACTGATACACACACTTTGGATGACTCTCCAGGGAATCCTGCTGAGCAAAAACAGTCAACCCCAAAAGGCTACATACTGTGTGATACCATTACTGTACAATACTGTATGATTCCATTATGTAACGTTCTTGAAATGACATTACCGTTGGAGAACAGAAGGAGCGATGATGGGGTGGGGGTCAGTGGGAAGGGAATGTATAAAAGGTATAGACAAGGGTGTGTAAATGTGGGTGCAAGGAAAGGACCACAGGCCGGTGGTTATGGCGCTGGAACTGTTTGTACATGGATGCTAGCGAGACCAGCTGTACTGAGCTACACTTTCACAAAACGTCACCGTGGGGAGAAGCTGAGAAGAGAGTGCGTGAGATCTATTTCATTTCTTGCAACTGCATGTGAATCTGCAATTATCTCAAAATTTATTTCCTACAGGAGCAACGTCTAGCCCCAGGCGAGCATCAGTACCGAGCTGCACCAGACCCTTCCTCGCCCCCTCCAACCTCCCCTGCCATGACCGGGAGCAGAGAAACGACCCAGGGAGAGAAGAAAGGCTCACTGCTCTTCTGCAGGCCACCACCTCTCTCCACTTGCCACTGTCACCCTCACGCACACTGTCAACCCGAGGTCCATCACCACCCTTTCACTGGACAGGAGGCAAGTTCATTGGAAGCTTTGACATTAATAAACATTAAAACCCGCTAGGAACGCAGTGCAGTTCACAGCAAAGACTGTGGGCCTTGGAAACGAGAACATTCCAGACTCCGTTCCAGCTCTACCTCGGACCACCTTATCCCCTGCGCAACCTTACACAAGCCCTCGAATCTCTCTGGGCCTCAGTGTCTTCACATGTAAAAATGGAACTCACACCACGGCGAGGTTGTAAGGATTAAATAAGGTATGGATTAAATCAAGAGAATCTAGCACCGTGCCTAGAACATAATAAGGAGATGGGAAACCTCACTGCCTTCCTCCCAACCTGCTAAAGGTTTCCCACATGACTTTGGTCTTACGTCCCCTTTTAATCAGAAATACAGCACAGCGGGACACCCTGAAAGTTTATTTCCTCTAAAGCTCTGTTTCTCCTTATTATGAACCTATTTTGAAAATAAAGCAAAATGATCACCTGTAGCAGCTAAAGCATGCCTCAGTCCAGCAGCAATGCAAACAACCTTCTCTCTCAGGAGCTGTTGAAAGAAGGAAAGAAGGAAAAGGACTGAGATCTTAGAATCACCCATCTGCAAAATGTTACATACTTATGCCCTGATACAATGCAGCATGGCCCTCATTACATGTCTGACTGGTTTAGAGTCCCCAACCTCCAACATTCCCATTCCTAAACCCTTCTATTGTATCCCTAATACATCTTTTAAAGATCATCTTTTAAAAATAAACATATCACAATGTGTCTCAGGGCTGCAAGGGACCTTCAAGGTCATCCAGTCCAGGGGTTGGCAAATGTCTTCTATAAAGACCAGATAGTAACTATTTTAGACTCTGCAGGCCATACAGTTTGTGTCATAGTCTCTGCTCTGCCGTAATAACATAAAAGCAGCCACAGATAATACATGAATGAAGGGGCATGGCTGTGTTCCAACAAAATTTCATTTACCAATGGTTCTAGCTGGATGACCTCTGATCTAGTCCAAGCCCCATCCAATGCCAGAACCCTCCACAACACCCCAGGAAATCATCATCCTACCCCTGCCAGCCAGCTGCTTTCAATGACATGGGCTTCCCAACCCCAGGTGCCTGTTCTGTGTTTCCACCATTCCATTTACCTCCTTGGCTGCCTCTGACCTCTCACAATGCTCTCCAAATACGTGAAGACCGTTGTCATGTCCTCTCTAAGATGTCTTGTAGTGGCCTTAAAACCAAGTCCTCAAATTCCTTGAAACCCATCCCTTCAAGTTGTGGAGCCTAATTCTCCTCTGGCTGAATGTGGGCTGGACTTGGTGACTTGCTGGCTTGTCTCTAGTGAGCAGGATAAAGAAGTGTGAGCGGCCTAGAGACAAGGTGATAAAAGGCACTGAGGCTTCCTGCTTGGCCTCCCTCTCGAATCTCTCTTGGGGGAAGCCAGATGCCATGACTGCACAATCCCATAGAGAGGCCCATGTGGCAAGAAACTAAAGCCAACTGCCAGGTGAGAGAGCATGGTGGTGGAACTGCCAGTCCAGCCCAAAGCAGACAGTGTGCAATCCTAGCTAACATCTTGACCATGACCTCATGAGACCAACTAAGCTGTTCCCAGGTCCCTGACCCTCAGAAACTGAGACAATAAATGCTTGTTGTTTGAAGTTGCTAATTTTTTTTTTTTTTAAAGAGAGAGAGAGGGAGAGCGTGCGCTCTTCACTCCACCCTCCACACTACCCCTTCAGGCCCCTTCCCTGACACACTGTTCTGACCTTCTGCCATTCACTACCTCCCCAATGATCCCCTCCCCACTGACACTTCTCCCATTTCCTTATATTCCAATCATACTAAACTGCCAAACCCTGATATTTTATCCTTCTACACCTTTGCTCACAGTTCCTTCTGTCTGGTCGATTCTTTTATAGCTACTCTGTGCATCTTATCTCAAGACACGTAAACTTCGACTCAACTTTCAAGATTCAGCATAACCTGTTCTCACTCCACCTCCCCCTAAAAAGAGTTAAACAGTCCCTCCTTTGAGGCTATACTTACATCCACCACAGTTTTAACATGGCAACCCATCTAGATGTTTCTAGATCGAACATGTACCACTAAACTCCAAAACCCTGAAATGCTAAGATTGGATCATGCTCACCTTTGTCCCCATGGCCTAAACACAGAGCCTATACACAACAGTTGCTATTAAATAAGTGAATTTCTCTTATATTTCACTTTGGCACATACCTCCTCTATCCAAAAGGGAACAGCTTGACAAATGTTTTCACCTCCTGATTCTGTCATCCAACATATTTTAACCATTGTTCCCTTCTGTCTTCTTTAACCATGTGACCTAAGCTAAATTAATTATAATTTATGTAGGTTCTTCAAAAGCCATTTATTTGTAATTTGCAACTTAACACTTCCTGTGACAGGGACCATAGAGTCTAGATTTCTGTGCATACCATGTGCTACAGACTGAATGTTTGTTTTCCCCTGAAATTCATACACTGAAACCTGTTACCCAATGTTATAGTATTTGGTGATTAGGTCATGCGAATGGAGCCCTCATGAAGGGGATTAATGCCCTTATAAAAGAGGCCCCAGGGGCGCCTGGGTGGCTCAGTGGGCTAAAGCCTCTGCCTTCGGCTCAGGTCATGATCCCAGGGTCCTGGGATCAAGCCCTGCATCAGGCTCTCTACTCAATGCAGAACCTGCTTCTCCCTCTTCCTCTGCCTGTGTCTCTGCCTACTTGTGATCTCTGTCTGTCAAATAAATAAATAAAATCTTAAAAAAAAAAAAAGAGGCCCCAGAGAGTAACTCTGTCTGGCAAAATGAGTGTCTATGAACAAGGAAGCAGGTCCTCCCCAGACACCAATTCTGCTGATGCCTGATCTTGGACTTCCCACCCTCCAGAAATGTGAAAAATGTTTGCTGTTGAAGCCACCCAGTCTTTAGAATTTTTGTGACAGCAGCCTCAACACTCTAAAACTCTGTGGCAATCATGACCTCAAATAATGTCCCACAGACCAGCAATTGTAATTCAGCAACATGACCACGCTCTCTCCAGTGAAAATAGATCGTCCACTCTGAGTCAGAGTTTAAGAAAATTAGCTAAATGTGAGCAGCTGAGGTGGTGAAACTGATTTTAGATCCCAGTATATTTCTTTTAAAATTCCACAGGCTTGGGGCACCTGGGTGGCTCAGTCAGTTGAGCAACCGACTCATGGTTTCAGCTCAGGTCAAGATCTCGGAGTTGTGGGATCGAGCTCTGCTGAGCTCGGAGCCTGCTTCTCTCCCTTCCTCACTACCCCTCCCTGCAAACTTAGGTTCTCTGTCTGTGTGTGTGTGTCTCTCTCTCAAATAAAGAAATCATTTAAAAAATTAAAATAAAATAAAAGTCCACAGTCCTATTGTGACCACTTGCATATAAACTTCATAAAAATGTATACGTTTTAAGTATGATGCAGTGGAAAGAGCTCTGAACTAGGGCCATGAGTCCTGTCTAGGACCCCTGCTACCCAGGAAGAAGCCACTAGCTACACGCAGCTACCAAGCAACCGAATGTGACTAGACGTGAGTAGGCTGAACTGAGACACACTCTGAGAACAAAATGACTTCAAAATGAAACAGAGAACACAAAGTATCTCATTAGGAAATGTTAACATTAGTGACACATATGAAATGATAGTTGGAATAAATTGGGTTAAATTAAAAGTTATTAAAATTAATTTCACCTACACACCACAGTATGAGTGAAACTTAAAATCATGGAACATGAGAGAAGCCAGACACAAAAAGCCACATATTATGATTCCATTTATGTGAAATGCCCAGAACAGGCAGATTCAAGAGAAGCTGAGTGGTGGCCAGGGGTTGGGCGAGGGTAGAAGGCAAAGTAACTGCCATCGGGTACACAGTTTCTTTCCTGGTGATGAGAATGTTCTGAAATTAGATAATGCTGATGGCTGCATGTCTCTGTGATCTACTAAAAACCACTGAATTATACATTTTTAAAGGGTAAATTCCATGGCATGTGAATTTCATCTCAATAAACCTATTATTTTAAAAATTAATTTCACGGGGCGCCTGGGTGGCTCAGTGGGTTGAAGCCTCTGACTTTGGCTCGAGTCATGATCTCAGGGTCCTGGGATCGAGCCCCGCATCGGGCTCTCTGCTCAGCAGGGAGTCTGCTTCCCCCTCTCTCTCTGCCTGCCTCTCTGCCTACTTGTGATCTCTGTCAAATAAACAAAAAAAATCTTAAAAAAAAAGATTTAAAAAAAATTAATTTCACATTCTTCTCTTTAGTCTTAAATGGCACTCCTAGAAAATCCCAAATTACATATGTGATTCATACCACATTTTTATTGGGCACTACTGGCCTACCATTTGCTGAGCTTAGTGTCTTTAGGTAAGTCACTTCTATCTGGACCTGTTTCTAACCTAGTTCCCATTGTTACTAATCTTAGAATTGTAAAATGTCATTAATGTCTTTGTGACATGTATTACCTTCACTGTTTCATTTCACAAAAATTTGTAACATGTTTGAGGACTAACAGGTTTTTCACTCACAGCCTCCACCAACCTGTTTTTTCCTGGGAGAACCAAGGTTTTCCAACTTAAATTCCAACTAGCCTATGGGTTTTCAGGGACCCAATCCCTGAGCTGGGGAGGGAAACACTTTAACAGGATGTAGGCCAGCTACATATTAGGTGCTATCCTTACCTCAATGGACTGGGGAACCACGCATCTTCGAGGGCCGTGAGGAACTCCTAGCTGGCCAAAGCAGTTGGATCCACATGACAAAACTTGACCACTCTCTGCAAAATTCAAATACTTCAATCATAATCTAAGAAATAAGATTTATGTGACCAGTGGGTAAATGCGGAAGGATGGGAAGAGCAAAGGGAATGAGAGAAGGAAGCAGGGCCTCAGATTCAGCACATTCAAACCACAGTCCCTGCTTTTGTCCCTGTAGGAATAAAAACACAAGGCACTGGGCTGTTTGACTGATTCCCCATCCCACTACCTAATTAATGGCAGCTTATCTGTGTAGAACATTCACCAGCTGCCGGGTGCCAGGATGGGAGGATACTTACTCCCTACTTTTCTCATTTCCATGCATCACAATTTTCATTATTTTAACACTCCGGGCTCACTGCTTCCCAGGGAAAAAGGGATAACTTGACCAACTGAGGAGTTTGGGAGAAGGAACAGGACACGTGTTGCTTGGCACCTTCCTCTCAGGTACTCTGGATTGGGCATAGTAAATGCTTCACCTACAGAGATAACCTACTGCTTGCAAAGTAAGTTTGCCTCAGAGGAGTGTTGCAGAGCCACTTGGTCTGACCATTAACCCTGTCCTCCAACGTAGCCTTTACCAATAGTGTGATCTCCAGCTATCTGGCCACTCTTCACCTCTCCCACAATTGGTTCCAAAAGTGAGCAGGCAACAGAGTGTTAACCACTACAACCTACAACCCCAACACAGCCCATGAAAAGCACTTCAGAAACGACAGCTATTCTTTAGAGTTACTACTACTAAATTCAACACACATTACAGAACCCCTCTGCAGAAGAGATGGTGATGTCTGAGCAGGGTTTTAAAGAAGGGATAAGAGTTCATCAGATAGACAAAAGAGAATGTTCTGCATGATATTTCTAGAAAGAAAAGTATGGGAAATGTGGAGAATAAAACACAAGGCAACAAGAGCGATAGGCAGGGAACAATAACTTTTTTTTATTATTATTAACATATAATGTATTATTTGCCCCAGGGGTACACGTCTGTGAATCATCAGGTTTACACATTTCACAGCACTCACCATAGCACATACCCTCCCCAATGTCCATAACCCAACCACCCTATCCCTGCCCCCCACCCCCCAGCAACCCTCAGTTTGTTTCACGTGATTAAGAGTCTCTTATAGTTTGTCTCCCTCCCGATCCCATCTTGTTTCATTTTTTCCTTCCCTACTCCCCACAGTCCCCTGCCCTGCCTCTCAAATTCCTCATATCGTAGAGATCATATGATAATTGTCTTTCTCTGATTGACTTATTTGGTAGGGAACAATAATTAAAGCCATGTGCTAAAAGCCTGGGTTCTGAGCTATGCACATGAGAATCCACAAGGGTCGGGTGGGAGAGGATATGGTCAGAAGATGCCCTTGCCAGAGGACTGTGTCCAAGAGGGAATCTAATCAGAAACTCTAGATGTCCTTTTCCATCCAGAATGACAAGCTACACAGGGCAAAACTTCCAGGGAGAAGTCAGCTGGACAAAAAGTAACTACTGCTAGCTGTTCCCAAGAGCATTATCATACTAACCCTTTGGCCATATCCCTCTACATCCTATTCTGCTACCTGGCTTTGCAGAGACCAAACAGTTCTGCCCAACCATACTTAATATTATTTTAAATTCTTCACTGGGGAGAAAGTTGCCACTACGGTTGTATGATTTCTGACTTCTTCATGCTTCCCCACCACGGTCCCCGACGAGTAGCCCTTAGCCAGCATGAGTGGCCAGCCAGCCCAGGCACACAGCTATCATGAATTTCTAGGACAGGAAGTAGCCACCAAAGTTAACCTAATCCATTCCCCAGTTTCTGGCAAAGAATTGTCAAGCCCAAAATTTTGCTGTTCAAACTCCTCTTGCAAAGGGCGCCCACAACCTTCCTCAAAGACCAGAGAGAAATCTGTATGTGTGTTTACACATAAAGAGGCTTTTACTTAATCAGAAGGATCGCTACCATCAGGCTCTTCTCACCCAATGCCTCTGTGGTGATAAAGATTTACCCAAGAGTGAACTCACCTGTGAGAATAATGGTAAAATCCCAGCCACAGGCCACCTGTAGGATAGGACAGCCAAGGAACGATCTGCAGGCAGTAAAGTACAGAACATCTTCTGTGTGACCAAGACCCAGTTGCCCATCTTTGTTCAGGCCACAAACAAAAAGGCCTCCACCATCTGCAAAAAGCAGAGGCTTTGGTGATAGGGTACACAGGGGAAATTACAACTGTCAAATCGAGAAAAAGGATTTCACTAATTAGTTGCAGTCACAAACCCAGCAACTCTTTTCCCACTTGCACTAATAAGCCACGTAGGTTAATGTGCACTGGCCTAAGTGGCATAGGGCCAACGCGCTCAAACCTAGTAGCTACATGGGACACTCTAAGTCCTAGAGCAGTGGCCAGTCACCAAGCTGAGCATCTGCCATCCCAAGAAAAGCCAGCATTCATTTAGAACTTAGAATGTGTCACATATTACAGTATGAGCTTTATCTTTTATCTGTGGTGCCAATTTATCCTTTAGGCATCATGCCTAGGGCCCACAATACTTTTAGAGGCCCACAGAAATGTTTTAATTCTATATTCTTTAATTTTTTTAAAGATTTTATTTATTTATTTCACAGAGAGAGAGAGTGAGAGAGCACAAGCAGGGGGAGCGGCAGAGGGAGAGGGAGAAGCAGGCTCCCCTCTGAACAGGAGGCCCAATGCAGGGCTCCACCAGGACCCTGAGATCATGACCTAAACCGAAGGCAGATGCTTAACCCACTGAGCCACCCAGGTGCCCCTAACTTTGCATTCTTTTAAAATAAGAAAAAAATAAATGCAATAAAAATAAAGATACAGAGGCGCCTGGGTGGCTCAGTGGGTTAAGCCTCTGCCTTCGGCTCAGGTCATGATCTCAGGGTCCCGGGATCAAGCCCCGCATCGGGCTCTCTCCTCAGCAGGGAGCTTGCTTCCCTCTCTCTCTCTCTCTCTCTGCCTGCCTCTGCCTACTTGTGATCTCTGTCAAATAAATAAATAAAATCTTTTTTAAAAATAAATAAAGATACAATGCTAAATCTAGCCTGGATTAGACTAATCTTCATATTAATGTGGTTGTAAAATAAAATTCTTACTATTTCTTTATAGAGGAAAGGGTCCACAAGGGCAAAAGTGCCAAGGACCCATGAAAGTCATACTGCAGCCCTGTCACTCATTGATTCTCCTCATCCAGCATGAATACTCCCATGTAGCAAATGGGAAACTGGCACAGAGGAATTAATATGCTCAAGGCCATATAGATAATAACAGAACCAGGATTTGAACGCAGGCAGTTGATTCCAGAACCCGTGTTCTTAAGTAGGATGCAACATACCCTTTTTTGCAAAATCATGGTTCCTGTAATACATGGTAAGTACTATCATAGGCTCTGCAAAGCAAATTAAGGAAAACACAAAGTCCTTCCTTGCTCAATCTATTTGCAAAGACTTCTAACTCACAAGTGAAAGTTAAATAGCAATATATGATATAAAATGTAATGTGTGTTGCAACTCTGCCACTGATGTGTCTTGTAACCTTAAGCAACTGGTTTTCCTCTCTGAGCCCCATTTGTACAAATGGGGGCGGGGAGCCTAGAAAATCCCTGAAGGCCTTTCAGCTATGACAATCTAGAATTCTCTAATGGTAACTTGGCTCTTTCACAAAAATGTTTTCCTCTGCAAAATATAAGAGGCTGAAAGGTGGCAACATCACACGCTAGCGCGAAATGTCGAAATAAGAACTGTCCACTCAAGAAGTATGTTACCTGTGACAACAGCAGAGTGGCCCCCTCCTCCAGTGAGCCTCCTGATACACTCCGGTTTACAGAAGTCACTCAGTTGCTGGGGCAAAAGGACATCTTCCTTATGGCCAAGGCCAAGTTGCCCGTAGCTATTTGCACCCTAGGGATAAAATAAGGCAAGGAGGAACCACAACTGTCAATGTGCATAGACCTGTCCCCATCTTTCTCATCCTGACATGCCTCTCAGAGCCTTTAACAGTGGAGATTTCATAAGTTCATTCTTAAGAGGCTGTTATATGCAACTCATACTTAGATGGTGGCCCCATCCCGAGAACACCGCAATTTCCATGGGAGAGGAGCCCTTATCCAAAGATACTCGCCTTCTCCTCCCAAAGCCCCAGCCTACATGTGTCACCTTTAGGGGGCAGCATGGGAGTTCCTTCTGATGAAAGCTAATCCTCTAGGGAGGCTAAGAAAAGAAATAAGGAGGGGAAATGGGAAAAAAAGTGTCTGGGAAATACACTGGACGTCCCTTCTCATGCCCTCACTGAGAAAACTGGCAATGACTTCTGTAATCAAAGTTAGCTGAGGGCCTTGTGCCCTCAAGCAGGGCACGTCACTGTTATTTCATTGTGAAGTGAAAGAGGTTGGCAATGATCTCCAAGGGCCTTTCCAAGTAGTGTTGTCTGACTCCAAGATTCACGTGGTGAGATTCCTGTAAGGGAACAGATTTCCCCTTGGTGGGTAATATGTCTATCTTTGTTATTACGAGATAAATGTCCAGAATCTCTGATCCGAACCCCTTGCAACCAGATGCATTTCAGATTCAGAATTGTACAGACTTTAGAAAAGTAATATCGTATGCAAATCATACACACTGCTGCGAGGTTCAGGAGCAGCGCCCCCTAAGCAAAATAGTATTATTTCTGCAGTAAGAGGTACAAATACAGTAGGCAGGCGAAGACTATAAACAGCATTATGTCAGGTCAGTTTGGGGTCTTTGGAGTTTTATGAACTCAAAATTGAAGAAAAAGAATTATAGACCTGCAGGAAGAAACTTTAGATTTCAGAAATCTTTATAATTCCTCCAAGTATCTACTCCTGGCTATTTCTTCCTAGATATGAGGAATAAAACCTTCCAAATATGTTTGTTTTTTAAGACACCTGAAAGAGAAAAGTGATTTAAAATAACTACCCAAGGGGCGCCTGGGCCGCTCAGTGGGTTAAGGTCTCTGCCTTTGGCTCAGGTCATGATCCCAGGGTCCTAGGATCAAGCCCCACTTCAAGCTCTCCGCTCAGCGGGAAGACTGCTTCTCTTCCTCTCTTTCTCTGCCTGCCTCTCTGCCTACTTGTGATCTCTGTCTGTCAAATAAATAAATAAAATCTTCAAAATAAAATAACTACCCAAAATACATACATGCATACAAACTTCCGCCCCTTATGGTCTATTTCACATTTGTACCGGGCTGCAAGGACTCCAAGCTGGAAGTGCAAGCCATGGCAGGGGCACGGGTCCCAGAGGCCCTCAGGTGCAGTATCAGCTGTCAATTACTAAGTGCTTCTCCCGTGGCTGGCATTCACCTTTAATTCTCACGACAACAGAGGAGATGGACATTATCGCTCCCGTTTTACAGATGAAGAAACTAAGGCTCAGAGGGGTTAAGTGACCTTCCATAATCACATAGCTGGGAAGGCACTAAGTCAGATATGCCCTGCTCCTTTCATTATACTGTACTACGTCTCTAAGGATACATAATGGGAACTTCAGCCCAGAGCTTCCCTGGCAAGAGGTTAACCTATAACTATATCTACAGTACCCCCATCACTTTATCCCCCTTTTTCTGCTTTATTTTTCTTCATAGCACTGCCTGACGTGACCTTTGCTTATTTTTTATTGCCCACCTCTCCTTCTAAAAAGTAAACTCAATGAGGGCAGGAACTTTGTTCACTGCCATTTCCCCTGCATTCAAAACTATGCGGGCCCAGAGAAGGTGTACATATATTTTATAGTGAATACAGTAAATGAATGTAAGATCTGATGAGGCCCTACCTAGGAAAGATGAAAGGAAAGCCATGCACTGTAGGGTACCCACACACAGGATGTCTCCATCAGCCCTAAGATATGCGTGGCTGCCTCATGAGCAGGACTACAGACTCTCTGCTGAACAGAAAGTGAGAGAGACACGGGTACTTGAGGCTCAAATTATGGGACTCAATTTTTATAATGCAGCAAGAGGCTCAAAATCCAGGACAAAGCAAAACGGAGGAAAATTTATACATATTACAGCTATATTTGCCTCCTTTCCTTACAAACCCTTCAGCCATATCACACACACATACAACTCCAAGGACGTAAATTTCCTTGTTATGGGCTGAATTGTGTTCCCCTAAAATTAATTTGTTGAAGCCCTAGCCTCCAATATCTCAGAATGTGACTATATCTTGAAATAGGGCCTTTTAAGAGATAATGAAGGTTAAATGAAATCGTAAAGGCAGAGCTTGAAACCGATACAAGAAGAGACACAGGAATGCTCTCACATAGAGAAAAAGCCACACGAAGACACCTCAAGAAGGCAGCCACCTGCGAGCCAGAGAAAGAGGCTTCAGAAGAAAGTAAACCTGCTGCCACCTTGCTCTTGGACTTTTGGCCTCCAGAACTGTGGGGAAATAAAATTCCATTTTTTAAGACCTCCCAGTCTGTGGTATTTTTCCATTGCAGCCCTGGCAAATTCATAGACCCCTCCAGCATATTATGCAGCCAGGCGGCCCGCAGGCCTCCAAGCAGTGGAAGAGGCCATATCTGACGCGCACACCCCTGTCTCCCGCCTGGGAAAAGCCAGAACCGGCCCTCACCCAGGTGCATTCAATCGCCAAATCAAGTGCCGCCTCAGAGATAGTGCCCAGACAGCCAGACTACCTCAGGTCACAGCGCGGTCTCCCTTCTGCCAGTCTGCTGCCTTACATTCAACAAGTGCTGCCCGGTACTGATAATTACCTTTGACTAGTCAACACAGGTTCGTTTTAACAGTAACACAGGTGCTATCCTGCTCCCTCAACTCCCAAGCTGGATCTCTCACTTGTGTGTACTTCCCAAAAGACCAGCACATAGCTAGGCACACAGAAGGGTCTCGTTCATTCATTCGTCAACAAATATTTGCTAGGCACCGTGAACAACACAGGCACAATACCCACCCTTACGACGCTTACATTCTAGCCAAGGCGACTGACATTAACAAATTCTACATTTCATTGCAATTGTGATAGGGGCTGTAAAGAACAAGACACTACGCCAGCTTATTTCCATGCATCTGTCTGGTTGGCCGCTTGCAACACAATCCTTTGCAGAGACCCTCCCCTCTCCTAGCCAGGACACGTAAAGATGACCCTGTCTCTCAGTGCCTCCGTCAAGCCAACACACCGGCGCAGACTCCCACGCCCCCGACACAGGCAAGATCCGGCCACAGAAGAATACCAGCAAACGGGCAAGATCTCCGCCTGGTGCACGGCCCATCACCGCAGGCCTCACATGAGAGGATGCTCCCGCCAGGGTGGGGCTGGGAAGGGGCCGGCATCCTCCGGGATGGTGAGGAGCACAGGTGGCCCCATAGGGCTCTGGACCGGGCGATCCCTCCACGCCGTCCCTCCCGGCGCTATCCGGGCCTGAGGCTCTCGCGGAACCAGACGCTCTGCCCAGGAGGCAGATGCTTCCCGCTGCGCCGCAGCCCCTCGGGTCCGGACCCCACCAGCCAGCAGGCCCCTAAGTCACCCGTGAGAGCGCCTCCCTCCCGACCCTCTCCATCTCAGGCCCCAGTCCCGCGTCCTCCAACCCAGAGCCTGGCCGGAACCTCGGCCGCCCAGCCCAGGTAATGCCCACGCCAAGGCCGCCAGCTCCCCCGCGCCTCTGCGTCCCCTCAGTCCCAGCGGCCCCGGTCCGGGGGCGGAGTCACGTACCCAGGCGAAGAGCGCGGTCGCCGCCGCAGGAGCGGCCGCGGAGGCGCTCGGCTCGCGCTCCATGTGGAGACGCTCCGCAGGCGCTTCCGGGAGGGATCGGAGGAGGGGCGTTCCAGGGGAGGGATTAGTGACTGGGGTGGGTGGGCCCGACGCGGGTACGACCTGTGATTGGGAGGGATCGGATCGGGGGAGGAGTCTGCAATGAAGGCTGGGTCGGTTCTCGGGAGGTGTCAGTGATGGGGCGGGGCCAGCGCGGGGGAGGGGGGTCTGTGGAGGAAGCGGAGCCATAGCTGGGGAGTGGTCTGCGGTTGGGACGGAGGCGGAGCCGAGGGTGGGACAAGCGGGAGCCCGGCTCTCGCCTCTGAATCCTTCTCCCAATCTCCCCGCCCGGGCGTGCTCCGCGTGTCTCCGCCTCCGGGCCCCAGACTTGCAGGCAGCTGTGCTGCTCCCTACTTCCCCTCCCACTCTATTTTTAGTAATATACGAATGCACTATGCTCCTTCATGTTTTTTATCTCTTTGGAGTCCCACGACAGCCCGGAGGAACTGACAGGGCAGAGATTGTATCACCAGTTGACTGGGGAGAAATTGAGCCTGGAAGCGGTGGAAAGGGTCCTGCCCCAGTGTCTTAGCCGATAGGTCTTTGGATCTGCTTTGGTGTGCATTTGTAAAATCTGATCTTGGTAAGCGAGTGTGCGGGAACTTACTCCTCGGGACACTAAACTGAGCAGGCTGGTTCTCATGGATTCCTGCCAGGGGCAGCCTTCTAACCCTCAGCACTCAGAGCACCGTCCTGCCCTGATTCTGATCATCAATACTGGGTAATTTTCACCCAACAGAGGTTTTCATATAAAATGGCTTTTATCAGACACTCTCATACACTGCTCGTAGGAGCTAAATAAGTACAATCTTCCTAAAGGAAAATGTGGCAATGCGTATGAGGAACATGAAGATAGATAAATAGATATTTACCCAGTAAATTCCACATCTGTTAATTTATCACAAGAAAATAATGAGAGCTGTGCACACTTAGACTGCAAACTATTCGCTATAGGGTTGTATATAATAGGGAGGAACAAATTACCTGAAAGTCCAAAAATAAATTGTTTAAATTGTGGCATAGCCATGTAGTGGAATACTAGGCTGCATTTTTTTAAAAGATTTTATTTATTTATTTAACAGACAGAGGTCATAAGTAGGCAGAGAGGCAGGCAGAGAGGAAGGGTAGCAGGCTCCCCGCTGAGCAGAGAGCAGGATGCGAGGCTTGATCCCAGGACCCTGAGATCATGACCTGAGCTGAAAGCAGAGGCTTAACCCACTGAGCCACCCAGGCACCCCTACTAGGCTGCATTTAAAAAATATGCTTTGGGACACATTAAGTAAGGGAAGTGTTCATGATGTGTCATAATTGTAACTATTATAATAATTTATACACACACAACACAAATACCTATACTCAGAGTGACAGATTGCAGCTGAATTGTATTTTCTTTGTTGTACTTTTTTTTGTATATAACCTCCATTTCCAGAGCCACCCATAATCTTGTGGGTACAAATGGGGTAACATTAAAGATTATAATCCATATTCACCAGTTCTTGACCCCCTTTGCTGATAGAAGCCTTCAGTCCTCATTACCCTGTATGCCTGGGAGCCTTGGAATGTATCTTCAGTGAGCTCTGAACAGACAGACCTTTCCTGTTCTTTGACCCCAACTACTCCTTGGTGTTTCTGCCTGTAAGAGCACATGAGGGCAGCACCTCACTTTTCCCTCTCCAGCCTGGGGCATCTTGAGAACATCCATGACCATGCTAAGAAAAAAACGAACTTGTGAAAGAGGTGTCTAGAAACCAATGTATGACTTCCAGTCCATGAAAGAGGTGGGAGAGGCTGAGAGAATTCTGGTAGGATACAGGGGAACCGCTGTCAAGGTGCTGTGAGCGCTGCCCATCTCATGTCTCAGGAAAGGCGTGCTGCTGCAAAACCACTTAGAGAACTTGGTATATATGTATCCCTCCAGACTGGTGCCTGGGCAGGCTGTTGATTCATCCTGAGAAATCCAATGGCTTCTGGCCAGATGGCTGAGCAAAGAGAGATCAATTTGGAAAGGTCTTTCATGCCCAGAGTGTCTCCCGTATATTTCCCACACAATAATTTGGCTAGGGGATGGTCTTAGACCCTATCCAGAGAAATTTCTGAAGGGGTGAAGAGACACCCTACTGGAGTTGACCACTAAATTCCTAGAGAGTGAGGGAGATGAATTCAACAGCCCAGTCACATCAAGAGATCTCAAAAAATAAGAAGGTGGGAAGTTCCTCCAAAACACCCCCAGAGAATGAGTCAGCATCACTTACCAAGTACAGAAAGCACTGATGCCAACTCACAGCCGTATGAGACCAAACAGAGCTTTCTACTCATTGCCTCTCCTCCCCACCACCATTCCCAAACTGGCATCCTAGTGCGTGGGTACAGAGGAACAAGAAAAGAGAGAGGGAAATTAGGAGCTAAGGACTGAGAAAGAGCGGAAAATTCAAGGCCAGGATCTGAGATTTCAGCCAAAGGGGAAAGGACTATCACAGAGTAGCTTGAATAGAGAGAAGATCTAGAAGAATACGCTTGTCTTCCAATTTCACCCCTTAAAGTACATACATCTATACTTTGCTAGCTTACAGTTATATCATTATGTTATAGCTTTTAATACAGTTTCTAGGCAATGTGGCAATGTTGCCACTATTTCAACTATGTGCATGTCACTGAGTAATTCTGTCCATTAGCCGCCTGGCTGAGTTGCAGTTCTTGAATGGGGCTAAACTCTTTGATCGTGTAACTTTCAGATGCCTTATTTCCACATGAGAGGAAAGTATAAAGTACTTTGGGGCCATATAGGCTATATCTATGTACCATACAAGTTAGGAAATGTTTTCCTTTAGATTATCTGATTTTATAGATGAAAAAAATGAGGCTCAAAGAAGTTAAGTGATTTACTCCAAGGTCAGATTTCTGCTTTTGATAAAGACAGATTAGCTAACTACAGACCAAGCCTCTTGCAAAAACAACTAGAAAAGCTGGGGGATAATATTTTAAAAATCTGTTTCGAGTCTTTGAAGACTATCAAAGCAGCCAGAATTTGAAGGGCCAAAATCTGGAAGCTGAGAGATTATATTTGGCACTACGTTTCCACTGGAACTGTTTGCTCATTAGCAAGCAGTGACTTGGAGGCTAAGAAACTGGGCTGAATGCTGCAGTTGAGAAGCTGAACAGTATTTTCAGCAATCATTTAGGGGTGGAAAGAATGACAAAAGTAGGGGACAAAGGTAGGAGTCCAGGTTCCCAGCACACACCCATAGCTTTCCTTTGAGATCCCTAAAGTGTTGCAGCTTGAGAGTAGAATTGTACTAGAAACAGACCAGCCCTCGGGAAGACTGACGCTCAGCTTCAAATTTACTTAATCCCTCAGGGGACCAAGATCTTCCTATGCTATAATATACTGCCTGCTAGAATTCCCTCTGGAGGAAGATGAAGTCGTCCAGAAGTTATGGGAGATCCTGGATCAGGACAGTGATTATAGTAGTGATGCTTTACACATGGATGTTTCTTTTTTCTTTTTTTTTATTGTGTTATGTAAGTAACCTACAATACATCATTAGTTTTTGATGTACTGTTCCAAGATTCATTGTTTACGTACAACACCCAGTGCTCCATGGATGTTTCTTTTTACAACGTTCTTTTGCAACATAATTCCTCCAATAACTCAGTGAAGCAGATTTAGCTCCTTACACAGATGAGGAACACATGATTGAGATTTTATCAAAAATTCCAAAAGTAGTTTCTAGGTTCCAGGTGTATTCACCTTCCTTTGTATCTCATATTCACAGGCTTTTCAAGAAATGTAAGAACAGGGGCACCTGGGTGGCTCAGTCAGTTAAGTGTCTGCCTTCGGCTCGGATCATAATCTCAAGGTCCTGGGATGGAGCCCCACATCGTGTTCCCTCCTCAGCAGAGAGCCTCCTTCTCCCTTTCCCTCTGCCTGCTGCTCTGCCTATTTGTACTCTCTATCTCTGTGTCAAATAAATTTTAAAAACCTTTAAAAAAAGAAATGTAAGAATGTTATAGGTTTCTTAAACTTATGAAATTGCTAATATATATTTAAACAAGGTTTTGTTTTTTGTTTTGGGGTTTGTTTTGGTTTGGTTTGTTTTTGAGAGAGAGAGAGAGGAAGAGAGAGCCAGCGGTCAGGCCCAGGGGGCAGGGTGGGGAAAGCTGGGAATCATAAGCAGACTCCATGTTCCACCCAAGGCTTGCTCTCACAAGCCTGAGATCATGACCCGAGCTGAAATCAAGAGTCGAATGCTTAACCAATTAAGTCACCCAGGTGCCCCATAAATCAGTTTTTAACTTATGTTTGACCAAAAAAAAAAAAAATGCTTCTTAAGAACATGAATTTTGGGGTGCCTGGGTGGCTCAGTCATTAACCATCTGCCTTCAGCTCAGGTCATGACCCCTGGGTCCTGGGATTGAGCCCTATGTCGGGCTCCCTGCTTGGGGTAAACCTGCTTCTTCCTCTGCCTCCTGCTGCTATCCCTGCTGTGCTCCCTCTGTGTGTGTTTGTGTGTGTGTGTGTGTGAGAGAGAGAGAGAGAGAGAGAGAGAGAAATAAATCAATAATCTTTAAAAAAAAAAAACACACAACACAAATTTTGGGGAGCCTGGGTTGGCTCAGTCAGTTAAGTGGCTGCCTTCAGCTCAGGTCATCATCCCAGAGTCCTGGAATCAAGCCCCACCATGAGTTCCCCGCTCAGATGGGAGTCTGCTTCTTCCTCTCCCTCTGCCCCTTCCCCTGTTTGTGCTTTCTCTCAAATAAATAAAATTTTTAAAGAAAAAAAAAAGAACATGAATTTTTTGTCCATTTACTAACTAGTAAATTTGTCCATTTACTAACTATTAAAACTTTGTCCATTTAACTAACCAGTTAAATAACAAACTTACAAATCATAAAAGTATATTATATAGTAAAATAAAGACTAGATTGAAATGGACCATAGCATCTTTATTCATTTCCTAGAAATTAATATATGAACTCCATTATGTGTGCTTTTAAAGAACTCCAGGATTTTTTTCCTTTTTCAATTTGAAAGCCAACTTAAAAACTAGGTATAATTGTATACATTCTGGTGTGTCATTACTATTAACAACTCTGAATTACAAAACGGGCAGATTAAGAAACACAGGCATTCTGGCAACCAGCTTTTGGAACTTTCTTCAAAAAGTCAGGAAAATACCATCTAAGTCCTTAAGTAAGAAGTCACTGATTAAGAATTATAAATCAAACTTTTTGGCTCAATTCTGTTCTCATATTGGAGTAAATATTAACATATTCTTAGGTGCTTTGAAGATATATTTTTAAAACGCATGAAAACTCTCGGGACTCCTGATTTACCAATTATCACATATCCAGAGGTTAGAAGAACTGAAATCAATCATTAAATATTTCCATTATCCTGAAGTTATGAATAATAATGATCGTGCTTTAACATTCATTTTAGTGTGCTTTAGTCATAGAGTGGTTTTAAACACTATAATTTTAAAATTCAATATCTATGATCAAAGTTGTATGAAAATAACCAGATATAGTATCTATAAATTGCTGTTAACTGTTATCTATCATGGTTTTCTCAAAATAGATTTCTTTGCAACCAGATACACCAACTAAAAAACTAGCTGATCAGTATTTCAAATGATTTTAGATTAGCTAACTTAGATCAATTACTATCAAAGTTATATTAATAGTTATACTTAATTAAAATTATAAGTAATGTATAAATCTGAAATAGCATGAATTACTCTCCCCAATTCTATTTCATTGTATGATAAAGTTTTTTATAATTTGAGGTCTAAAAATGATTAAAAGATCTAGAGCTCTGTTGAAATAAAATGTGTTAAATGCTATACAATTTGACTATTCATGTGGGGGGAGTAAAGACACAGTTTTTTAAGTAGCTGATTAAGAATGAAAACTTGGTGGAAAATATGACCCTTAATATATTATTAACAGGAATTACATCACTGGGAGAGGAAGCTGATGGGGTGTAATATTCAGATGATTCTAGGGTTTTTCCTTTGTGGATTTTTTTAACCTTTTGAGTTTGAGATACTTGGCAGGGCTACCATGTTGTACTAACCCATTTCATTCTATGTGAATGGTACTATAAGAAGTTGTACAACATTGGCCTGATTTATAGGATATCTAGGTGGAAAATATCCAGCAGGCAGCTGGACTTAAGATGCAAAAATTCAAGAAAGATGTCAAGGTTAGAAATGCAAATATGGAAGTCACAGAAAAGAAGAATTGAAGTCATAGGGGAACCTGGATGGTGCAGGTTGAGCATCCAACTCTTGCTTTTGGCTCAGGTCCTGATCTCAGGGTTGTGAGATCAAGTCCTATGTCAGGCTCCACACTCAGTGTAGAGTCTGCTTAGGACTCTCTCTCCCTCTGTCCCTCACCACCTTCTAAAATAAATAAATAGATCTTAAAGGAAAAAAAAAGGAATTGAAGTCAGAGATGTGGATGCCATTTCCCATAAAGAGATGGCAGAGAGAGAAGAGGACCAAAGACAGAAACCTGAGGGAAAGGGGGGGAGGAGAAAAGGAGCAAATAGAAAAGACACAGCATGTATTCACGAGTCCAGCTTCATCCTCTTCTAACAGGCCCATTCCCTGTCCTACATACCTAACAGCCCATAAAACCAGTCCTTGCCACCCTTGCATTTTTGGTGTCAGACCTAAAACGGTTTTCTTCACTTTTCTTACATCCCATTTCCTCACCCATTTCCCCACCCTCTACCCCCTATACCTTGCCTCCATATTTATGACCTCACCTATACCTTGGAAATGAAGTGCTCCGTGTTGCTTTCCCAACCTTAACTTTGCGTTTCTTTCATCTGTCTCAGTTTGAACTCTCCATTTGACAATGACAACTCCTGCTAACCTGAGGACAAATCCCATCATAATACCCTGCATGTGTAAGTATAGGGCCTTATATATGGTATCCCGAAGTTCCCCTTGGCCCCATGAGTAGAAGAGATCATCTAAAACAAAACCAGCATCATGCAGTGCCTTAGAAAGCAAAGGGTCTCACTCAAGGAGGATGGTCGCTTGGGAAGGGACTCTCTAGTTCCCTACTGAATAAAGTCCCAAATTATTAGCCTGGGCTTGATGATTATACCCCAACCCTTTCCAGATTTGCCTACTCATACTTCCCTACAAGATACCACACTTGGAAACTAGACTACTTCCTCTTTACAAGGTAGGCTTCACATACAAAGACCTCTATACTCCTGCCCACACTAGAAGTGAAGAAAGCTGGTCTCCTATTAAATTTAGGGCTGTGAATGTGATCAAGGTTGGCACAAAGCCAAAGATAAGTAAGATACTTTAGAAGTAAGAGGATCTTAGGTAGCAGTATGGGTCAGGTCCATAATACCCATCCAGGTATTTTAAGTGATCGTAAAGGTCATTTTATTCAAGAAGGATTAGGGAAAAGAGAATCAAGCTGGTATGAGATCTATCTCTGGGGTAAAAAAAATTCTCTATAAAAAAAACAAGTGGTCAGTGAATTGTAACATATATGAATCATATTTCGCTAAAGCTGTTACCCCCAAAAAATAATAGGTAGTGGTATAGAGTATTCAGGGGCGAATTTTCAAAGAACTGATTAAGGAATAGGAGTGGAGAATATCGTTTGGCTGCTGACTCTCGCCAAGCAGGTCTTCAAGAAAAGCAGGAGCTGGCCCACAGGCCTCGGAATTGGCGCTCAGACCCTCTCAGGATCAGCTGATCGGCTGTCTGCTGACCTTTGCAAGGGCATCACTGACGACATCAAGATCATGCTGCAGCTCGTTCATGGCGCTGGTTATGCTCTTGGTGTCTTTCAAGATCTGAACACTCCGTGTGTACGGATTATACTTCACTCCAAATGGACGCTTGATTGTTTTGGTAAATTCTCTATTTAAGAAATCAAATAAGAGGCAATCAATTTCCAGGAAGCAGAGGATGAAAACTGAATGAGCAAGAGCAAACCTATTGCACACCCGAGGCGATGGATAAATCTTTATCAGTTGTTCACACAACCCATCTGACCTTCCCTACACAGCACGTGCAGAGATCCCCTGGAATCCTACACAGATACGAAACTTAAAGCTGCCATAGACACACCCATGCCTGCACTGCCAGGGAAAGATCCTGTGGGTGACTTTTTAAACAATTTATTACTTTATACATTTCTTGGCTACAGTAAGGAGACCAACTACAATAGCTTGATCAGGAGACAATGGCGCACTTGACTACCCAGTAACACCCCTCATCTGTGATTTACCTAACTACACCCGCACACACACCCACACACACACACACACACACCCCAAGAGCAGTCCTGCCTCCTGCACATAGACATTCTTTCTGTTTACAATGTTTTCCTCTAGCTTTCTCTCAAATGACCTAATTTCTACCCTTTCTTCATGCATTCAAGTCCTGCCCTCTTCATCAAGTCAACATTCGAACCTCTCATTTGGCACCCCCAAAAACAATTGTGTTCCAGACCCGTAGGAACACAGCTGAGGACAACTGTACATGAGTAAGGGCTGAAAAGCAGCTTGCAATCCACCTGGTCTACCCATGAGGGACCACTTCTTTGAGTCTGTGCAAAGAGACCATATGAGCTAGAGGTAGACCTGTTGGTATTGTTATTTGGTTCTGGGTCTGGCCTAACTCCCCAAGTATCAGAAAATCTCTGGAAAACAAGGAACATGTCTTCAACCCCCATCTGTCCCACAATGATCTCACAATGTAAGATCCCTTCCACCAAATATTTTGTTGATTCTGCTTCTCTAGTCCTTCCTTTCTTACTACTTCTGTCTTGGCCCAGGCTCTTATTTTCATCTGAAGTATTACAAAAATCTCCTGAGTAGTTTCTCTGTCTCCAGTGTCTTTCTTTCTTAACAACACATATAGCTGATTAATAGTTAAAGCATAGTGGGGCGCCTGGGTGGCTCAATTTGTTGAGCACCTGAGTCTTCATTTCAGCTCAGGTCATGATCTCAGGGTGGTGAGCTCAAGCCCCGTGTCTGTCTCCATGCTCATTGCAGAGTTTGCTTGAGATTCTCTCTCTCCCTCTCCCTTTCCTCCTCTCCTGACTTGTGCTCTATAAATAGATAAATAGATGATAGATAGATAGATAGATAGATAAAATCTTTTTTTTAAAAAGTGGTTAAACATGGGACGCCTGGGTAGCTCAGTCATTTAGTGTCTGTTTTCAGCTCAGGTCATGATTCCAGGGTCCTGAGATCGAGCCCTGCATCAGACTCCCTGCTCAGCAGGAAGCTTGTTTCTCCCTCTCTCACTCCCCCTGCTGTGTTCCCTCTCTTGCTGTCTCTCTGTCAAATAAATAAATAAAATCTCTTTTAAAAAACAGTTAAAGCATAGCTTCATTGCATCACACTCATATTTTTCTACCTCCCTTACTTGTTTCATGCTCTCCCTTAGCCTAAAACTTAGCATATCTAAATTCTATTCATCCTTCAAGTGCTTTCTCAGATGCCATTAAGCATTCTCTGTCCCCCCATCTAGAATAAATTGCTCCTGAATAAAATGGAAAACAAAGTTTCATCAGTATCTCTCTAAGGCTTTCTATGCTGTGATACAGTAATTTGCATATAGTTTATTTTTCCTAATAGATTATAAACTCTGATGGGAAGAAACCAGTTTCTCAATGTATCCAATTCATATATGTAATCACCAAACATCACCATAAACAACATACTCTAAATATTTATTTGTGAAAGGGAGCTACGTCAGAGGCAGACGTTACCTTGTAGGTTTCTAACTATCCAGCCCGCTTACTTCTGTGATTTGTTACCATCACTGGACCTATCTTTTGCAGAGGAGAGTGAAGCCATAGGGAAGATATACCTTACCTCATCTTCTCCTTTGCATCTTCAAAGCTTTCAGATACAAAGTAGACATCCTGAAAAGTTGTGATGAGACACTCCTGTTTGCAGGTAATCTTGGGATCAAAGGGCTTTACTTTGGCATGTCCAGAAAGTGAGTGCTAGAAGACAGAGTCAGTGAATCAAAGAATACTGTCTAACTTCATGGATCACATCCCAAACATCACCACCAGAATCAGCACACCGCTGAGGGCACTGACGTAATGGCCAACCTATAATTCCAAACTTATTTCCTACAGCATTATTTGACCCACAATATACTCCAGCAAAACAAATGGCTTGCTATTCCCCATAAATGCCCCAAGATCATCTCCATGACTTTGTTCTAACACTCTTTCCAGGTAAGAGGCACCCGACGATCTTCATGTATATTCCTGCATTATGACACTGACTTCCTCGCCTGCACTAGTTATTTCTGTACGTGACTTGTACCCGCCATAACGTGGTAGACTCCTGAGAGCAAGAAGTACCATGAACAGTATTTCACACACAACCCATCACTCAGCAAACATAAGATCATTCCTTTATTGGGTAAATAATAATTCTCAAAGAATTCCATAGAATTTAGGAGAAGTTATGGCTTGCACACTAAAAATGGTGAGGGAGGGCGCCTGGGTGGATCAGTGGGTTAAGCCTCTGCCTTCGGCTTAGGTCGTGATCTCAGGGTCATGGGATTGAGTCCCGCATCGGGCTCTCTGCTCAGCAGGGAGCCTGCTTCCCCCTCTCTCTCTCTCTGCTGGCCTCTCTACCTCCTTGTGATCTCTCTCCATCAAATAAATAAATAAATAAATAAATAAATAAAAATAAATAAATAAAAATAAAAATGGTGAGGGAACAGGAAAACTTTGTAAGCAAAAGCTTTAACATGCTTTAAAAAAAAAAAAAAAATATATATATATATATATATATCTGTTGGGACACCTGGGTGGCTCAGTTGGTTAAGCGCCCAGCTCTTGGCTTTAGCTCAGGTCATGATCTCAGGGTCCTGGGGTCAAGCCCCACATAAGTTTCTGCACTCAGCAGGGAGTCTGCATTGGGAATCCTCTCTCTCCTTCTGCCCTTCCCGCCCCCCGGCTTAGGTACTTTCTTTCTCCAAAATAAATAAATAAACCTTCAAATAAATAAATAACATGTCTATAGTGTGTCAACTATACTAAAAAAGAGAGAGAAATTAATTAATTAAATTCCACAGATAAGGGGGTGCCTGGGTGCCTCAGTCAATTAAGCATCTGCCTTCGGCTCAGGTCATGATCCTGGGGTCCTGGGATCAAGTTCTGCGTTGGTCTCCCTGCTTGGCAGGAGGCCAGCTTCTCCCCTCCTTCTGCCCCTTCTTGTGTTCCTGCTCTCACTTTCTCTCTGTCAAATAAATAAATAAGGTCTTTTTTTTTAAATTCCACATATAAGTAAAAAAAGAAAAATAGGGTATCTCTATAAGCCTGGGAAATAGAGAAAATTGTCTTTACTGCCACCCCAAGTATTTTCCATAGTATGCACTTGTTCAAGTCCAAAAACTCTTTCTGGTTGTATCAATTATAGTATGTGAACATGGCTATGTGGAGAGATTTATGGCTTTTACCTTAAGTTCACTGATAGAAGAAAGTAATCCAGCACCAAAGACTCGCAGCTGCCCGTCTTGCTTACAGAGACCAAACTCCACAGTGAAAAAGTAGCACTGCAAAAGGACATTGATATTACTTTCACAGCCTGAATAACTCAATTTAAAACAAACAGCAGCTATTAGACACTGACCCACAGTGCCCTGGAAAGAAGTTCAAGATCCCCAGACCGGTTCCCAAGTATTTCTACAACCTGGCCTCATTCTAAACCAGCACTTCTCAAACTGCTGTTCCCAGGACTCTTGCATATTCTTAAAATTACTCAGGACCCGAAGGACCTTTTGTTTATGTGGATTACAGCTCACTAAATTTATTAGAGTAAAAGTTAAAACTGAAAACATTTACATGTCTACTAATTAATTTTAAAATGTAATAAACCATTTTATGATAACATACCAATTTAATGCAAAGTAACTCTATTGCACAACATTTTAAAAAGGGTCAGGAAGGAAGCATTGTTTTACATTGTTCCCAATCTTTTTAAATGTCTGTCTAGATGTTATTTAATGTCTGGCTAGAAAAACAAGATGGATTCTCCTATCTGCTTCTATATTTAACCTGTTGCCCTATGTTGTTTTAGTTAAAGGCTATGAAGAAAACTCAACCTCACACAGATAAGCAGTTGGAAGAAGGCTATGGATTCTAATAGCCTTTTCAGATAACTGTGGATATTCTTTGACACTACATCAAAACTCAACAAGTGCTAATTTCTTAGATTTCAGCTGCAGTGTGGAATCTGAAACCATATCAATGAACTCTAGCCTTATATTGAAATCCACTTTGCACCCTGAGTGTATATTTCACTCAAGGACCCTGTGTAAGGGTTTCAGGAACACCAGGGGGTCCCCAAACCACAATTTGAGAAGCACTGTTCTAATCATCCAGCCTTTTTCATACTACATCCCCCACCCTATCACACTCCGTTCCAGCTTCTTGTCATTTCCCCAGACACACCAAGCACCTCCTTGTTTTTCCTTGGGTGCTGTTATCCTAAGATCCTCTTCCTTCCTTTCTTGGCAAGTGAAAACATGACAAACCTTCCCTAGGCTAGTCCAGACATTCCTCTTCCACGAAACCTTCCCCAAGCCATTCTTTGCCCTCCCAGAATACTCTGCCTGAACTTCTCTGTAGAGTTTATCCCATTCTAAAATGACTGTCTCCTTAAGTTGTACATAAACTCCTTGAAGGCAGGAACCAGATCTTACTCATCTTTGTATTTCCAGCACAGAGGCTCAAAAGCATCTTTAGCATCATTTTCAGAGGACTCATCATTTTTATTAAAAAAAGATCTCAAACAATTAACATGATTGAACTCCAGCGTTTCTCTATCTTTTTTTAAAGCCCATGTCTCCTGTTGATGAATCTTAAAATTTCACATCCTCCTTTATTGCTATTGAAATTATTTAAATTAAATTAAATATGAGCAAAGACAAACTGTCTAACAGTCACCTTAAATATGTCCTTTTAAACTGACACTCCCATCCCAAACCCGATAGGAATTACTGATCTCTACAGCTATTTTCCAATTTATACCGTTGCGAGTTTTTGAACAGACTCCTCTGAAGCTCCAAGGGAAGCCAGGCCAATTTCTTGGGAGAATTGAGCAAAACTAGGTTCAGCCAAAAGGGGGACATGACCTAAGAGCTCATGGCAAGTATCTCTGAAAAAGAGGTAAAAGTTCATCACTCTGTGATGCTCATGTCACATATAAACCACGGTCAACAATTCAATTAAACCAAAATTGATCTGATCTTACTTTGATTCGGGTGGTATTATTACTTTGCAAGTGGACCACGAAAGACACTAGTAATTTACTGAAGAAACTATTTCGGTTCAAAACTTAGGCCACTTACAAACATATACACATAAGATACCCATAGACATGTCTGTCCCACACCCCAACCAAATCAGGTCTCTGCTCAAATGTCACCTTCTCAGTGAGTCCTTGTCTGATCATGCTTTTCAAAATAGAAACACTCCACACATCCGCCACATTCCCCTTTCTCTGCTTTACTTTTCTCAGTGGCACTTATCCCCATTGATTGGTGATATTAAATATATATATTTACAGGGGCGCCTGGGTGGCTCAGTGGGTTAAAGCCTCTGCCTTCGGCTCAGGTCATGATCTCAGGGATCTGGGATCGAGCCCCACATTGGGCTCTCTGCTCAGCAAGGAGCCTGCTTCACCCCCCACCCTGCCTGCCTCTCTGCCTACTTGTGATCTCTGTCAAATAAATAAATAAAATCTTTAAAAATATATATATTTACACATATATAAATTTACATATATTATATATTTATTATATTTATATATATTTACTTGTTTATTATCTCTATCCCCACTGGAATATAAATTCTATGAAGGCAGAAACTTTTGTCTGAGTTTTTACACTCCCTATGCTTAGGCTAGCACTGGGCACCTAACGGTAACAGGCTGTCAATTAAAAATAGTACTGATAACGGCTAACAGACCATGGAGCGTGTATTATGTGCCAGGCACTGTTCCAAATTTTTTACACATGTTCATTCATTTAATTGTCACACCAGACTCCTGAAGGAGGTACCATCATGACAAATAACTATTTGATAAATGAATACTAAACGGAAGTACTCACGGCTCTGGGGTATAGAGAGGGTCGGAACTGTGTCTCACGTACTGTGTGCAGTGGAAAACCCGGAAGGCTAAGCCTGATAAGAAATCTCTTGGTGACAGGTAACCAGCCACGGGACGGATGGAAAAACCAGTGCGCTCTGCAAAGCAAAGGAGAAAACGAAGAAAATCTTCACCCCAACAGACCATTTTCTGCAACATTTTAATTCTGCCAGTGGCACCCGGTAGCATTTTAAGGGAAAACATGGAAACTCGCCCTCTGCTCTTCCACTTCCACCCAGTTCCTTTTGTACTTGGATTTCCCCACTCTGATGGGTGGACTTCATAGGCCAATAGAACTCTCCACAATAATGGAAATGCTCTACAGCTAGGCTACCCAGTAAGGTAGCCACTAACCACACGGGGCTATTAAGCACTTGAAATGTGGCTACTGTGGCTAGGAAACTAGTATTTTGATTTACCCTAATGTGAATTATTTAAACAACCACACGCATCTAGGAGCCACCATATTTGATAGTGTGAAGAGCGCCTTCTAACCAATATTTTGTTTGAACAGTCATTTAGGTTTGGGTTTCCCTCTTTGACAATTTCCCCTGAAACACCTTCAGCAACCTGTTCAGCAGCCAGCTCACGCTCCAGACCCCAGGTGAACAGCTTTCCATTTTCTATCCCTAGCAAAATACTTCCTCCAAATCTCAAGCAAATTTAACGTGATAACCTCTACGGCATATGCTTGCTCATCTTTGTTGGACCCATAGGTGAGGTCATGTGTGTTGGTTCTCTGTCATCCTAATCACTTTTTTTTTTAATCTAGTCTTTATAGGAACCATTTATAGGAGTTCTTCTCTTATAAAACAATAGTGCATTTTTCCTGCTTAGTTTTTCTTAGTTTTGTGCATAGTGGTTGACTAACAAGAATTATGGAGTCAAACAGATATGTAGGTTTTTATGATGGTCTATGTAAGAAATTCAAAGATAGAAATTTCAGACCATGATGGAAATAAACATGAAAAACATAACTTCAATTTGTTCCCTAAGGTTCTAGTCTGCTGAGATCAAGGGGGATATTTATCTTTCTTATATATTGAAAACCCTGGAGATCACTGATCATTTTACTTCCTGTACTAGCTAGAAAAAAATAAGGAAGCCTGAACCAAATAAGCAGGAAGAACTAAAAGGAAAAAAAAAAAAACAAAACTGTTGATACTTCTTTGTTGATACTTCTACTAGCACATCTTCTTCCTTGGGAGAATGATGGGGTCTTAGGGTGGAAAGGAGCTTTGGAGACCATTTACTCCAGTCTTCTCCAAGGAGCCTGAGTGTTCTCTACCACATCCCTGACAAGTGGGTGTAGAACTTTTGCATGAAAACCTCCAGGGGTGCAGAAATCTCATGAGCCTGTTCCATTTTCAAATGGCTCATTTAACAAGGTCCTCTCCATTTTGAGCTAAAAGATTGCAGTTTCTATCCAACTGTCATTTACTTTAGGGTCACATAGTATTCCCTCTATTACATAAGATGATCAGCTAGTATTTAAATAAAGCTATCATGTCCCCTATATCTCCAGGTTAAACATCCTAAGAGTCCTTCAAACTATACTTATATAATACATTTTCCATGCCCCTTAAAATTCTGCTCACTTGTCCACATTCACTCCAGATTATAATTGTCCCTCTTCAAATGGGATGCCCAATACTGGGTCCAATACTCCAGGACACAGTAAGGAAAATTCTGACCTCCCATACACTTGAACTTTTTATTCCTCTATTAAAAATTCTGTCATGATCACAACAGAGCTCAACATACGCCTTACAAAAAATTAAGCATATTACCTTTTAAAAAGTTTGAGACATCTTCCAATTGTGGGATATTATCTTCCCGGTATCCACAATATTTAGAAAGCAAAGGTAAGTTTTTGAGATACTCTCTGCAGGCATGGGTTGGGTAAAGTTTGTTGAGCTCTCGGAACACAGTTCCCCAGGTCTTAATCTCCTCTTCAGTGAATTCAACTTTGGGAATGGGGTCTCCACTAGTGAGACATACAGAGTTATTTTGAATTAGCATTCAGTAAACAATAGCATTTATCTTTTATTTGCTAAATGAGCATAATCTACTCTATTCATTTTTTTATTTCAAAATTGAGTAAGTTATTTTTATAATATACTTACTGTTTATAGTTCATAGCCAAGTCTGCAAAATATTTCCGTCTTTTACGGTAAGCATTGTCTTTGAAGCCCTGATAATTAAAGAAAAGTTTAAAAATATCCATATTAAAAAATGTTGACAAATGATATTTAGGGAACATTTCATTATTACTCAAGTTACGATACTAAAGGGCTACATAATTGTAATTTTGAGTAAGCACTGTTTAGAAATGTATGATTATTTTTATTTTAAAGGCAATCTTATGGGTGAAAGGGATGGGGTAAGTGGGTGATGGGCATTAAGGAGGGCATGTGATGTAATGATCACTGGGTGTTATATGCAACCGATGAATTACTGAACTCTAAACATCTGAAACTAATGATACACTAAATGTTAACTAATCGAATTTCAATAAAGTAAGTTAGTTAAAAAAGGCAATGTTATAGGAAAGCTTAAAACTATAATGGCTACTAAATAAAAAATACTATAGATACAAAGATACAGAAATCTTATAGTGGCTACAAAAATAAAATGGTTTGAGGAATAAGAAAAGCATCATCCTAGTTAAACACACAACTCTTTTCCAAATGTGAGATTTTTTTTTCTTAATCGTTTGACAACACCTTCAGCTATATTTTCCTGTAATCATAATTCATAATAAAATGGTAACTAATAATACATGGAGTCATGACAACTAAATCTAGCCTTAGATTTCATCACAAAATGCAAACATATTCATATTTGCTAAAGCAAACAACAATAATAAAAAGATAAAACAGTAACATTCGAATTTATACCTAGAAAATATTTTTTAAAAAACCAAACAGAAAAAATAACACTTCAAAAAGCAAAGCCCAGGAGAAAACAGCCAATAATGCAAAACAGGAAAAAAAGGGGAAGAAATAAGAGGGGAGAATGAGGCTTATCTCTTTAACACAGATTTACAAGCCCCTCCTATGCACCTGGCCTTGTGCTAAAATCCAGAGAAACAAATAGGAGCAAAGCACAACCTGGGTCTTCAGGGAGTTTACACCAACCAATTATTATGAAACAATATGCTAACTGCCTTATTAGAGATATGCCCAAAATGCCACTGAACTCAAAAGAGAGACTCCTAACCCAGCGTATGTGAAAGAGAGTAGGGGGTGGTCAGGAAGGGTTTCCCAACAGTGACTCCCAAGCTAAGTCTCAGAAAAGGAGTGGGGACAGTTGGGTGGGAAAGGACAGAAAGGATAGCATCAATGTCAGTGCAGCAATGAAAAACAGTAAGCTGTGACTGAGGAAATGTGAGCTGGAGCTTGGAGAAGGAGGTGGAGCCTGGCACAGACTAGTTTGAGGCCTGCTAGTCAGGGTCTGAAACAGCTTGGACTTCAGTCTTTGGGTGATGGGAAGCCATTGGTGATTTTTCAAAAAAAAAAAAAAAAAAAAAACACCAGCTTTATTGATATATAATTCACACACCATAAAATTTTAAAGTGTACAGTGTCATGATTTTAGTACAGTCACAGTGTTGTGCAACCACTTCCACTATAATTTCAGAAAATGTTTATCCCCAGAAGAAACACCACACTCATTCACAGACTCCCCACCATTTCCCTTCATCTCCAGCTCCTGGCAACCATTAATCTACTTTCTGTTCCTATGAATTTGGGTATTCTGGATATTTTGTATAAAAGGAATCATAAACACATGGTCTTTTGTGACCAGCTTCTTCTATTATCACAGTTTTCAAGGTTCCTCCCTGTTGTAGCATGCATGTATCAGTATTTTGTGTTAATTTATGATCACTAATATTCCATTTTATGGACTTATCACAATTTACTGATCTGCTTATCAGTGGATGGACATCTGGGTTGTTTCTACTTTTTTGTTACTATGAATTAAGCTGCTATGAAAATTTGTGTACAAGTTTTTGTATGAACATATGTTTTCAATTTTCTTAGATGGGTACCTAGGTATCGTTGGTGAGTTTTAGGCAGAAAAGGGATAATGATCATACTGAAGTTTTAGATCATTCTAGTGACTATGAGGAGGGTGGGTTTGAGGTGGTGAGCTGGAGGCTGAGGGATGAGTTAAAGGTATGTTAATAGGGATAAATAAGGAACAAATTTAAGCAATATTTAGGAGGTAAAAATCAGTAGCACTTGGTAGTAGATCAGAAAAAATTATTTAGCCACCTCTCCATAAACATGCTCTGGATTTTCTTACCTCTGAACCTTTGCTCATGTTACAATGAACTGTCCTTTCTCCCCATATCTTTCCTGCCAAACTCCTTTAAGACTGTGTTAAAATGTTGCCTTTCTCTGATCTCTTCAACTAAAAGTGTTTGCCTTCTTATGTACACCTCAAAGCAATCTGTTCATTCCATTTAGGACTTTTCACAATTTAATCACATGCTTATTTATAGATGTGTGCTTTATTTTCCAACTAGACTGCAAATGCCTTGAGGGCAAATACAATTACAATTAATAAATTGCTCAATGCGATATTATGGGAAAAGGGGTAGATCAGCTGAGGGCTCTCTAAGGCAATATGCAGCCAATGAACAGATCTACTAAGTGGCAGATCAAAGACCTGCTGCCTACGACTCCAAAATGGCACTCTTTTTTTTCTCGACCTTCCCAGAACCCTATGACTCCAAAAGCAACCCTAATGCTCTGGGCTTGCTAATTCTCCAACTCATGCCTGTACTATGACTCGTATAATTTTCCAAAGGAACAACTTCCCAGTTCATCAACTGCCTAATAAATCAGTCCTGCCGGACAGCGTGAATAGTAAGTATTTCTCCCTTATCCTTACCTGTCCCCTCCCATTTCCAATAATCTATACCCACTTAAACAAAAACTGCTGTGGATACTATCTTCAATTTAGCAGAATTCTTGAGAATTCTACGACAGAGAAGCTCTTATTAATAGGAAGGCCAGACATGGGGCAGGGGTTTCAGAGCTAATGAATTTAGATGCTCTTTAGACATTAGTTGGGATTCCGCCAATGTGGAAAACTACGGGCACTTCCCGAAATCCAGATTAAAACCACATCCCACTTACTCTGGAATAAGCATGTTCTCCAAAAAAAGAAAATAATTTCCCCTAATTTTTAATTTGCTTTAAATTATTTTCATGGAACTATTTATTAAAAATATTTACAGGATGATCGGCATCCAGTTCAGATCCATACATCAGAACTCTGTTGGCACAATGGTCCAGGTCAGAAACCTTCTTTGGAAACCAAGGAACAGTTTCCATACCTGCAAAATACAAAACCACTAACAGTTGAAGAGATGATCTGAAGGCAATAAGAAAGAAGAAATTAAGAAAGTCATAAGTACATTTGGATGAAATATTTTTTATAGCTTGTACTTTGAGGCAAATTTTATATAAGTAAGTTGCCCTTTTTCTAATAAGTAAAATTCATTCAAAATTTTTTAGTTCAAAGAAATTTTTGAGCCTTGATTTCCTAAGCATTGGAGAAATGCTATACTTTAGTAATAGAACCAAAGTATCAAAAAAATTGTATAAGCTACATATTAACTATCCTTTTTAAAAAAAAAAAACAGAATAAGGTGCTAATTTAATGAGAACTTTGAATGTTTCTTTTCATTGATGCAAAGGCTTTTAGAGATCACTGATGCCTTTGTCACTTTGATCTGTCACCCCCTCACCTTCCCTCGGAGATAAAAGCCCTCCTGTAACTCTGGGCGTTTGCACCTGCTGTTCTCCTTCTCTGCCCCCCCCCCCCCATCCTTCTATTTTCCTAAGAATATCCTTCTCCTCCTCTAAGACCCAAATCAAATGAACCTTCCCCAATCCTGTAGGTGGAGCTAATTCTTTGTCCCTGGGGCTCTGATTCTCTGAAACTGATCTGCTTATATCTGTCTTATAGGAAAGATCAGGAAGGACTCTAGGGGAAGGGCTATATGTTTGTATCCCTGTTTCTTCATAGAAATAACTGACATAAATCAGTATTCCCTAAATATCAACTGAACCATTTAGCCCCTAGAAAACTCCTCATTTTACAAATGGAATAATCAAAGCTCAGAGAGGTAGTTTATCCAAGGTAACTCATCTCTGTTGGAAGAGAGAGGACTAGAATTCAATCCACCTTGTTCCAGCCTAATGCTCTTTTTAACATACGCAAAAGTGATAGTCAAGTAGATTTAACCAGAAATACCACAGGCGCACGAGTCACTCAAAATAGCAGGAGCAGAGTCCTAGGCTCCTGCCCCACCAGCTGTTAACCCTTTGGTTATTTGTAGTGGGCCTGGGACTCTCAGGGTAGCATCTGGAGCACACAGCCTTCAGGCATGGCGGGGATATGCAAGGGACTAGGGGAAACAGCTATCTGGCACTCATGAATGGAAGCATATTATTATTTTAATAACTTACAACAGCCATACAAATACATAACAAATGAGTATCGGCCCGGATTACACCCCAGTACCGTGCATGTTCTAAGGGATTATTCTAAATTATGTACTATATGCAAAATGTGGTTCAATTATCCTTTTATCTTTTGTCCCAAGGATTTTTTCCACAACAGAAGTTCTTAGCCATCTGAAACCTTAGGAGGCTTTGTTGCTTTTCACTTGCTTTTGGTGGGAGTGGGGAAAGGGAGGACTGCGTAAAGAGTGTATTCACATCATAGTTGTCAGCGACTGTCAATATTCTCAACAAATTTGAATCTTTACTTTATATCTGCCAGATGCTAAGCCCTGTGGGAATTTCTAAGTGCTCAGGAATTGTAAATTGAAGGTTTGTGAAATTAAGAAACACTTGATGATTTGGAAACTGAGAAAACTTAATTTCCAACCATTCTGAATTCTTTCTTCTACCCAGTGTTTTCCTTTCACTTCTCTCACACTTGATAAAATGTTACTTCATAAGTGTTCTATAGTATTTTGAGTAATTACATTTTTGGGCTCCCTTCAGTACCAAACTAAGGAATTTGAAGAGACAGTGTTTTATTTTTATGTTCGTGCCTTCAAGATAAATATAAGATTGGACACACTTTATGTACTTAATCTTCTGAGTGGGATTTTCACTTTTCAAACTTACCATCTTCCTTCACAGTAAAATTATCTGGTGGATTCACAGAGAGAACGTTAGTATGGGACTTCAACAGATGAAAAATGTCATTCAATTGTTCTCTGTTGATATCACAGTCCACAAAAATCTCAAATTCTGAGTTTCTTCTCTTTGATTTTCGAGACTCGATATGTAACAGGTTCACATGCTTCTCCTGAGTAAAGCAGAGAGTAAAGAGACATATGACAGCCTCAAGTGATAATAGTCGCTGAGCTCATTACTTTCATTGCCACTAAAAATCAATTCCACACTTGCCATCATAGTCAAAAGAGAAAAATGGTGTTTTTAATCCTGCCAACAGTAAAATAACTCCCCCTAAATATTATTACTGTTCAAAAAAGTTTGAAAAATTTATCACACCCTCCAGAAACTAATAAAATAACACCTACTAGAAGGCCCTCAATTGCCAGAACTGAACAGCCTCAAATCAAAATATCAACTCTCCTAGATAAAAAGAAAGTTTCAAAAATTGATCACAAATGAAAGTGTTTTCAAAAAGTGATATTATTTTTAGTCCTTTAGAAAGGAAAGTTTCCTTTGTGAATATGCATTTAATAAAATTAGACGAACATCTTGAACAGTGTCTTTAATACCTCAAATATCTTAAGCTACAAACTTAGTAACCAGCTGAAGCAGATTACTTCTTCTGCTCTCTTCCCATGCCAGCCCAAACTGGGTGCCATATGTGCAAACTTGTGGGAGGAGGATATCTTCTCTTACCAACTTGGATAGCTGAGGACCAGCACCAGTGGCATAATAATGAAAAATAAGAACCAGTTACTCAACATCTAAAAAAATGAGGTTAGAATAGCTGATTTCCAACACTAACCAGTTCAATTTGAATTAACTTGGTGAACACCTAAGTAGCCAGGTAAGAACTGTGAAGTATACAAAGCAAAGCAAGTCAAACAAGGAGTTTATCATCTAGTTGGCTACCACAGGAAAGGCTAAAAGAAAACACAAGTAGTAAGTATTTAGGTGCAGAAGATATTCTGGGAAAAAGCATTATGAGCCAGAGAAAGTAGACGTTTTCATGAAGCAGACAGGAACAGAGATGAGTCTTAAAGAATAGATAGGGTAGGAAGACAGAAGGGGAGGAGGTTTCCAAACAGGAAGAACTGTAGATGCAAAGGTAGAGATGAAGTAAGAATTATTAGGAACATGAACCAACAAGAAAAAAAGAGTATCAGGGATGTTGGGAAAACTGTCAGGACAACATCAAAATAAAAAGCTTCTGCACAGGGGTGCCTGGGTGGCTCAGTGGGTTAAAGCCTCTGCCTTCGGCTCAGGTCATGATCTCGGGGTCCTGGGATCGAGCCCCGCATCGGGCTCTCTGCTCAGCAGGGAGCCTGCTTCCCTCTCTCCCTCTGCCTGCCTCTCTGCCTACTTGTAATCTCTGTCTGTTAAATAAGTAAATAAAATCTTTTAAAAAAAAAAAAAAAAAGCTTCTGCACAACAAAGGAAACAACCAACAAACCTGAAAGGCAACTTACTGAATGGGAGATGATACTTGCCAATGACGTATATGATAAAGAGTAGTATCCAGTGTATATAAAGAACTAATACAACTCAACACCCCAAAAACAATTAATCCAAATTTGAAACCAGTAAGACAATACTTGATAACATTACCCAAGTTCTGGTTTCCTCACTTGTGAACACATGGATTTGTAGATACCCTGTTTTCTTAGGATGGATTTATCGGTGGGGGGCACCTGGGTAGCTCAGTTAGGTAAACCTCTAGCTCTTGATTTTGTCTCAGGTCATGATCTCAGAGTCATAGGGCTTTACGCTGAGCACTGAGCGTGGAGCCTGTGTAAGATTCTCTCCCTTCACTGCACCCGCCCCCCAGCTCATGCATGCATGTTTCTCTCAAAAAAAAAAAAAAATTAAAAGATGGATTTATGGAAGTGGAATAACTGGGTCAAACTGCATGAACATCTTAAGGTTCCTAATACATATTGTTTCCCTACACATTATGCCAATTTACGATTGCACCAAAGGTGTATTTAGTTCCAAATGCATTGAGGCTTTGACAGTAGGGAACAGTATAATTTTGGAATTTTTGTTATTTTGCTCTATTAAAAATACCATGGAATATTTTACTAATGTCACCAAATAATATTAAAAATGTAATATTCTATTTAATTAAAACAAAATTAAAATCTGCTTCTCTGAAATCTGTGAAGTGAATCTTTCCTCCCGTTTGTGTCTTCTTTTCTGTAAATGGTTTGTATCCCTTGCCCATTTGTTAGAATGGAGCAATATTTTAGAAACTTAAGTGCTTAAGAAATTTCTTCTATCCATCTCCAAAGAAGTTACAGTAATTTATATTTTAAATATAATTTTAGAGACTCATTTGAGAAGACGACTATGCAAAAAATATGGAGAGTGCTTACCTGGAAGATTTTCAGTGCTTTTATGAGTCCACCAACTTCATTCTTCAAGGAAAAAATGAGGGTTGCTCTCCCTCTTTCTAAGGAATGATCTTTATTTTCCTTATTGTCTTCAATCATGGTGAATTTGGTGTAGTTCTCTAAAAACGAAGTATGAAAACAGAAAGAGAGCTCTAAAAAAAGAAGTTGTGCAATATAGACTATATTTGATAATATTTGAAACCAGTAAGACAATACTTGATAATATTACCCAAGTTCTGGTTTCCTTACTTGTGAAACATGGATTTGTAGATACCCTTCGTAAGACTATAATGAGACCAATGTAAGATAAAACATGGCCTAACATAGTTCTTAGGATATAATGAGCATACAATGCATGTTGCTAGTTTCCTTTTTCTTTTTTTCTAATCCAGTCCATTCAGGGTGTAATTCATGCCCACTGGCTTCCTGCAGTCCTCCTACTGTGGCCTGAACTGGGCACTCTTCCGCTATGAAAGCCTACCTCCTCTCCCCCCCACAATTTCAACACTTTATTATATTGGGTCTCTAGTGTTTTATTCATGCGTGTCTTGTCTTTCAACAAGACAGCAAGCCCTTCAGAACAGGGACAAGTCCTTCTATTTCTTTTGTAAATTCAAGAGCCTGGCAGCTCGGGACACATGGGGGACCACAAGGTCCCTTAGCTATTTAAGGCACCAAGAAAAGACTGGGATATATAATTCAAAGTTTACTTTTTGACTCATTGAGTTTTAAATAAAAACTGCTTAAATATTTTTAATTGTGTCAATTTATTCTCTATAACTAAAACAATCTCTATATCAAATGCTTTAAAACCAAAAATCTGGTTAAACTTAATAATAGTCTGGATTTTTCTGTGATTCAACTGTTTACTAATGGTAAAATAAATGAAATTTCAACCCAAGCACATTCATGTGTCTAAAATATCATAGTCAATGTTAAAGCAGTAAGGAATAAAAAACAAAGAAGACAATTTGCCAGCAAAGGATTCACAGACTTATGTAACGAGGGAGGGGGAAGAGAGACAGATTTCCCAATAAGCACAAATAAGCAGAAGAGAATAAGACCCTGAGAACCCAGCTCTGATATCTGAGGGGCACACCACCTTCCTCAACCCCCACCTTCCCACCCTGTGACAAATATCCTAAAGATAAACAGAGATGGCTTCTGGCCCATCCATAAGGCTGATCAGAAAGGATTTATGAATGAGAAACAAGAGGTCTTAAAAGAGACTTTCAGCTGCAAAGAAACTGTAGCTTTGGTAAACTTAAAGTATATACAGGAAATTCTGAACTGGTAGCTCTGGGGCTAAAAATTCAGGGATGCATTCTCAAACTACATTTAGAAATGTGAAAATCTTTCGAGACATTTCTTATCTAACTATCATTGAAAGGTCGTAGGCTTTTTTTTTTTTTTCAACACAGAGTATGGGTAATTTTGTCCTATGGTATATAAATGCAAACAGTAAGAGACATAAAATCATATGGCAAATTGCTAGTAACAAATTCATCTACAAATTCACCTGGACAAGTTCTAATTTCTATGTGTATAAGTTTCCTTATTTGTAAAATTGGAGGGAAGATAACTGACATCAGTCTCATGGTTATAAGGAGGATTTACTTTTATATATATTTAATGTGTATAAAACAATTAGAACAGTTGCTGACCTACACAAAGTAGAGTTAATACTAGCTCTAATAATGGGAAGTGCATCCCAAATTTCCTGGTCTTCAAAAAAAGTTAAAATATTAAATATAATAAAAATGACATTCTAAACTCCTCTGGCTAAGAATTTTCTTGCCCCGGGAATTAAGCATGTCACAAGATGGTAAAGGTTGTTTTATGACATGAAACGTAAGTATTCTTTTGTCTTAAGGTGATTTTCAGTTTCATTAGTTTATTTATATGAAGCCCCTAAAATATATTAAGTTTCAAATTTCAAGTGAATGATTCAGCAACACATTTAGTAGATGAAGACCCTAGTCAATCCATATTTACTAAGTCCCCATTTTCCTTGATATTGTCCCCATGACATGCTGAAGAAAAAGGATTCTGCAAATATAAGTTACTTCCTAATACACCATCATGTTCATAACGAAAGCAAATTTTAACAACTGGGAGCAAGGACCAGAGAACAGTAGAGAAAGGTGATTTTTGCCAGTCAGCGAGAAAACTTGACAAAATTTCAGATCTCCTGACAGTTCATCCTTCAATGATCTTTCAGAGTTTAGAATGCAACTCTTGTATAAAACTATATAAAGATTTCCTCTCACATTTCAAAATTAGCCCTTAAGCTCCCCTAGGAGCCATTATAAAAAGGTAGTAACAGTCATGGCTGGTGTCACTCCATCCTTTTGGATTTCAAAAATCTCTCTTCTTTCCCTGGTTCTGGAATAGATCTAGTTTTGCCATCAACATCTCTTTAGTGGGATGAGGAGAGAAAGGTGAAGGATACCTTAACAGAATATTTATTATGCACAAGGCATTTTATATTGAAATTTAGAAATATTCCTATCCTTAAAGTTTCTCAAAAGGAACTTTTGGTAAAAAAATAATAATAATTAAATAAAAATAAAAATTTAAAAAAACCTAGAAGAAAACAATTCTCATCTACTCCCCTATCCCCACCCTCCACCCACTGCCCAACCCCCCCAAAATAAGTTTACAGAATATAGGGCTCTGATCTAAGAGCATAACTTTGGTTGAGCTTATGAGGCATCAGTCCTTTTTCCCCTTTATTCAACTACCCCCGAACCCTTTTCAGAACCTCAACATTTTCTCTTGTCACTTTGTTTCCTTTCTCCCCTCAGCATATCTACCCCCTCTACTTCTTCAGGGGCAAAAACCATAGCATAGCTTGGTAAGATAAAAAGCTATACAGTGTCCAATGCATCACTCCTGTTTAAACCCATGTCTCATCCAAAAAAAAAAAAAAAAAAAGGTATATATTTTATTTAAAAAAAAAAAACAAAAAACTCTAATGGGCCAATGCCAACTGGTATTTTCCCCTTTCCCACAAAAGGCAGGGAGTTGTTCTGCTTCATCTCCTGGCCAGACTAAAGATGCACTGGTGTTCTGGATATACCATGGGAAATAAGGAAGACATATCAAGAAGGAGTCAGAAGATCAACAGCCCCTTGAAAAGTAGAGGTCAAGGTGCTTAAATCGACTAATTCCTTTCTGCCTTCAGTTTAATCAGTAACAGGTATAATTTAAATGTATCTGTTCTAAGAAGCACAAAGCACTATCAACTTAAAATATTTTGAAATCACAGATGCTGTTTGAAGACAGAACTAAAAGCTATGGAAAGGACTGATGCGGAGGGAGAGAATCTTCCAGAGAATCTTGCTTTTCTTTTTTGACTTGGGGAAAGGAATAAGAATGAAAGTGGAGATGAAATAAAAGAGAAAACAGTGCCCATGAAAAACATTTTCCGGGCGCCTGGGTGGCTCAGTGGGTTAAAGCCTCTTCCTTCAGCTCAGGTTATGATCCCAGTGTCCTGGAATCGAACCCCGCTTCCGGCTCTCTGCTCAGCAGGGAGCCTGCTTCCTCCCCTCTCTCTGCCTGCCTCTCTGCCTACTTGTGATCTCTGTCTGTCAAATAAATAAATAAATAATCTTTTAAAAAGTTAAAAAAAATTTTTCCTAGGAAATAAAGGCACTGGCAAGGAAAATGGAAATAGAAGACATATCCCTACCTAAAGATAAGCTAATATGATAACAACATATATACAAGTAAACTCCAGTGCTGAAATTCATAAACCACAAATTATGTCTTTACAGGAACATTTCTAGTTACTTTAAGCTGTGTTCACATCTACTTTTAGAGCAAATAAATGAAGTCCATCCTTATTTGAGAATTGATTGATGGGTACAAACTTTTACTGGATGGATTAGAACTAGAACTCCAGTTTTTCCCCCAAACCAACTAGAGTAGAACATCAGTGGGGAATTAATTTTAACCCACTGAAACCAAACAGTCAGAGGCAAGTTTAAGCTTACCTGGTGGATGTGAACTACTAGCACTATTTGTCAATTGTAACCTTGTACTGTGTTAGGGTGCTGGTGATGAAGGTAGATGTGATGCTGACAGGCTTGGCAACTGAAATGTCCTTTTCTTTGGAGATATCTAAGGGAAGGTTCCCTTCATGGGAGAAGGAAAAAAGAGGTGTTGCCATTTGGTCAAGAGGAAGGAAAGGAAGAAGAATGCATTTGTTTCTTGCTAACACAAAGGAGTCATACGGATTTGAGTTCAACTCTGAACTTTCCAAGAAATGCAAAAATATAAGAAGCACCCACCTCACAGATTTTGTCGTGAAGGTGAAATCAGATGTTGTGTAAAGAGCCTGTTGTTGGCACACAGCAAGCCTTCAAAAACTGTGTCTTTTCTTCCCAGAAAGGGTAGGAGAAAAGAAGAGTCACCACAGGGGTACAATTTCGACTCCCCAGATCCAGATCTCCACAGGTAGTTACTTCCTGAGAGAGTGACCCTGCCTCTGCGCACTGGCCCAGCGCCCCCAAATCCTCGACGACGGTGGTCCCTAATCCCAGCGGGAAGGAGCCATCCCACTCACCTCTGAAGCTGCTGATGATAAGCTGGGACTGCCTGCGGCACAGCCCTGTCCACCCCTTATAGGAAGCGGGAGTCTTAGCGGGCCAATAGGCGCCCGAGGCGGCCGGGCAGCAGCCAATGAGAAGGGAGTTAGCCTGCAGGGCGGGGGCGAGTCGGCCCGGAGCTGACCGCGGCTTGGTGCTGACGGTCCCCGCCAGCCTGCACCCTTAGCCTTTAGATATATCCGACTCGTGTTTTAATTAAGCTAATGCCAGGCCCTTCTTAACTACATAAGTCTAATATTAAACAACCCAGCGCTGGAAATTCCCTCCAAACCAAGATGACATCTATTGACATAATGACCTTCTATAGGCTTATCTGTTTCTCCCGGTATGCACCAAAGCACAAATTCCCCCCTCCTCCCCCATGTCTCTGTGCTTCTGGTTTATTTGATAGCCCAGGCCTACTTCACCATTCTTTTGGTGCCTTCCCTTGTTCCTTGAGGAAGAGCAATTGTTTAAATTATTAGAAGGGAAGAGCTCAACAGGCTT